TAGGTGTGAGCCACTGCGCCTGGCCAAAAAGCTGTGTTTTTTTAATTGAATGTGTGTTCTAGTGGGTATGTCCTATTAACAGATTTTGATCTCTTCATTATGTAAGTCATCTAAAGCAACAACCTGTGGGTGCTTGAGATAGAAGTTACCTGTGAGGCCGAATGTCTATGTTAGAGAAGGGACTTGTGCAGTGAAGTCAAGCAGTGTAGAGGGATGGCATGTCTGGTTACTAACAGTCTAAAAATTCTGGTTTGGGCTGGGTGCGGTGGCTCACGCCTGTATTCCTAGCTACTCGCGAGGCTGAGGCAGGAGAATTGCTTGAACCTAGGAGGTGGAGGTTGCGGTGAGCGAAGATCGTGCCACTGTACTCCAGCCTGGACAACAAGAGTGAAGCTCCATCTCAAAACAAAAACAAAAACAAAAAAAACTCTGGATTTTCAGAGCATCCCTATGCCTTGAATGTCTGGAAAACCACTCCCCATTGGGAATTTCTTGGCCACAAAGAATGCCATCTTACATGGCTTTGTTCTTAGACTTTATACTACTACCAGGGATACTGTCTTTTTCTCAAAAAATCTTCAAGGAAGGTTTTCCTAGATATACCATGAGACAGAATATAATATTGATATGTTTCTCAGTGAATGCATACAAATCTATATTTCAGATGGATTTTTTTTTTCTTTAAAAATTTCAAAAAGTTTATTTCCTTTTTGTGGAGAATGGTGTCTCGCTATATTGCCTAAGCAGATCTCAAACTCTTGGGCTCAAGTTATCCTCCCACCTCTGCCTCCCTAAGAGCTGGGATTATAGGCATGAGCCACAGCGCCCGGCCAGATGGATTTTATGTTTGTGGTTTTTAAGCCAGTTTGCAGTATTTATATTTTTCTTTCTTTCTTTTTTTTTTTTTGAAATGGAGTCTCACTCTGTCGCCAGGCTGGAGTGCAGTGGCGCGATCTCAGCTCAGTGCAACCTCCTCCTCCCAGGTTCAAGTGATTTACCTGCCTCAGCCTCCCAAGTAGCTGAGACTACAGGCATGTATCACCACACCTGGCTAATTTTTGTATTTTTTAGCAGAGACGGAGTTTCACCATGTTGGTTGGCCAGGGTCTTGATCTCTTGGCCTTGTGATATCTGCCTGCCTTGGCTTTCCAAAGTGCTGGGATTACAGGTGTGAGCCACCATGCCTAGCCATATATATATATATATATATATATATATATTTTTTTTTTTTTCTATTAGGTATGTGTAGATGGGCAAATTTGAAAAGTTAAGTTTTAGAGAAACTGCCCAGATCTCCATTCTGCTATAAAGCAACCAGTAATAACTTGTTTGTATATTATTTAACAGTTGACAAATTATTTTTTATACTCTTCCTGATTTTTCTGTTTTGAAACAGGGTCTCGCTCTGTCACCCAGGCTAGAGGGTAATGATGTTATGGCTTCTTGCAGTCTTGACCTCCTAGGCTCAAACAATCCTCCCACTTCAGCTTCCCAAGTAGCTAGGACTACAGACACGCGCCACCATGCCCAGCTAATTTTTTTATTTTTTAAACTTTTTAGATATGTGGTCTTGCTCTGTTTCCCAAGGAAACAGAACTCCTAGCCTCAAGCAGTCCTTCCACCTTGGCCTCAAAGTGCTGGATTATAGGCTGAGCTGCCATGCCCAGCCCTCTTTCTTTTTAACTTTAATACTTTCAGTAATATTCCCTCGATTTGGGTGACTGGCACATATTATGTATACAATCTAAATTCTGAGACTGAATTTAAATAGTATCAAAGGACAGGTCCTTATTGACATTGGAAGTCCAAGTCTACACCCCCTTATTGAGACTGAAGTTTAGGCTAGGTTGTGCATCCACTGCTTGATACTACACTTGGTATTTAAACTGTGCCTTTTCTCTGCTGAAGTTTCTTAAGCTTGTTAGACATTAAACTGAGGTATGTAGCCATGCAATTCAAATCAGCCTTTGTCTTAATTTAAAAGGGAGTAGTTATTGTTTTTTGACCTCTGTCAGACAAGAGGAGCTATGTTTTGATGATAGTATAGACTTTGTCTTATAGAATAAATTATGTAATAAAAGCTTAGTACATGTTTGTTGAATTAATAATCAGGACCTTGTTAATTGTCTATTTCATCATCTTGAGCAATCCAATTATCTTATGAATGGCTTCTTCTAGTTCATTCATTGATAAAAAATTATTACCATGAATGGTCAAGACAAACTAGAATCCAGGGTTATTGTTCCAGAGCTTTTTTTTTTTTTTTTTTTGAGACGGAGTTTCGCTCTTTTTACCCAGGCTGGAGTGCAATGGCGCGATCTCGGCTCACCGCAACCTCCGCCTCCTGGGTTCAGGCAATTCTCCTGCCTCAGCCTCCCTAGTAGCTGGGATTACAGGCACATGCCACCATGCCCAGCTCATTTTTTTTTTTTTTTAATATATATTTTTAGTAGAGACGGGGTTTCACCATATTGACCAGGATGGTCTCGATCTCTTGACCTCGTGATCCACCCGCCTCGGCCTCCCAAAGTGCTGGGATTACAGGCTTGAGCCACCGCGCCTGGCCTATCTTTTTTTTATTTAACTTTACCTGAAGTAATTTTGAACTTGAAGTTACAAGAACAATAAAGACAACTTTTATTCTGATACGCCAGTTCACCAATTGTTAACATTTTGTCACATACTTCACTGTTTATTTCCTATAAAAAGGACATTCTCAGATGTAAATCAAAAAAGTTAACATTTTTGAAACAGTGCCATTATGTAATACTCCATGTATGGTCCATGCTTCATTTTTACGTATTACCGAATAATATCCTTTGTAGCAGGTTTTTTCCTAATGCAGGGTCATGTGTTGGGTTTTGTTGTATGTCTCTTTAGTCCCCCTTGATCTGGAACAATCTTCTACTTTTTTTTTTTTTTTTTGACAGTTTCACTCGTTACCCAGGCTGGAGTGCTATGGCGCGATCTCAGCTCACCGCAACCTCCGCCTCCTGGGTTCAGGCAATTCTCCTGCCTCAGCCTCCTGAGTAGCTGGGATTACAGGCACGCACCACCCTCCCCAGCTAATTTTTTGTATTTTTAGTAGAGACGGGGTTTCACCATGTTGACCAGCATGGTCTCGATATCTTGACCTCGTGATCCACCCGCCTCGGCCTCCCAAAGTGCTGGGATTATAGATTTGAGCCACTGTGCCCAGTCAATCTTCTACTTTTCCTTGTCTTCCATGACATTGATATTTTTGAAGACTACCACACAGGTAAATTGTAGACAGAGGCTGGGCGTGGTGGCTCATGCCTGTAATCCCAACACTTTGGGAGGCCGAGGCAGATGGATCACCTGAGGTCAGGAGTTCAAGACCAGCCTGACCAATATGGTGAAATCCCGTCTCTAATAAATAAATAAAAAGAAGTTGTAGACAGCTTTGTATTCTTGGCCTAGGACATCAACCAAAGAAAGTTTTTAAAAAATACTTAAAAATTTGGGGGCAGGGGTGTGGTGGCTCATGCCTTTAATCCCAGCACTTTGGGAGGCTGAGGTGGGTGGATTACCTGAGGTCAGAAGTTCAACACCAGCCTGGCCAACATGGTAAAACCCCTTCTCTACTAAAAATACAAAAATTAGCTGGGGAGGGTGGTGAGTGCCTGTAATCCCAGCTACTTGGGTGACTGAAGCAGTAGAATTGCTTGAACCCAGGAGGCGGAGGTTTCAGTAAGCCGAGACGGTGCCACTGCACTCCAGCCTGGGTGACAAGTGAGATTTCGTCTCAAAAGAAAAAGAAAAGAAAAATTTGGGGGAAAGTAACTTTCATCCAAAAAGTTTAATACAAGGGGCCAGGCACCGTGGCTCACACCTGTAATCCCAGCATTTTGGGAGGCCGAGGTGGACAGATGACCTGAGGTCCAGAGTTCAAGACCAGTCTGATCAACATGGTGAAACTCCCTCTCTACTAAAAGTACAAAAAATTAGCCAGGCCTGTTGGCAGGTGCCTGTAATCGCAGCTATTTGGGAGGCTGAGTCTAGAGAATTGCTTGAACCTGGGAAATGGAGGTTGCAGTGAGCTGAGATCCTGCCACTGCATTCCAGTCTGGGCGATAGAGTGAGACTGTCTCAAAAAAAAAGTTAAATATAGGAAAGAAATGTGATTTCTAGAAAAAGAACACATACTTTGACTTAGGGACTTAGATTTAAATCACAGTTCTGCCACTTAGAAGTGTTGTGGCATTGGGCAATTTACTTTATCTTCCTGACTCTCAATTTCCTTAGCTCTAAAAGGGTATACATAAAATATTGGTATGAAGAAATGAGATAATGTATGTAAACAGAGGAGCACATGCTGTGTATGCAATGCATGGTAACTGATGATACTCGCTTCGGGATAACCTTGCCTAAGTCATGTGAGGATGACTACTTATGTCATGTTCGATGGTTAAATATTTCTATAGCCCTAGTCCTCAGAACACGGAAATGGAGAAAAAGTCAGAATCAGAACAAGGAAATAAATTGGCTGTCACATTCTTTCCTTGGATGTAAATAGCACTTAAGAATTCCTTGCATTTTCTAAGTGCCTTAAATCTTAACAAGAATGTGGAGACTCCTCTAAGTATTTGTCCCCATATTCAAGTTCTGCAGTATTTGATACTTTCCATTTGCTGTTCACTGTCCAAACTTAATAACTAGGTACAAAATGCTAATGTTCAAGGAATGATTTACTAGGGGACAGCTTAGTATTTGCTTGTAAGTTGGCTTATTAACGTAATCTGTGTGCTGAATTCACTGGAATGCAGCATAGTCAAATCTGGCTGCTTCTACTACTGACTTGGTGCAAGAAACACTTGGCAGGTATTAAAGTGCTATTCTTTGCAGTTACTTGGTATAATTTGCCACAGAAGTAAATTCCAGGAGGTAATATTCTTGCTAGGTTACACCCTATTACCTCCTGACTTAAGGAGTTCAAGCTAAGGGCAACGGTCTCTAACTCAAGGTGATTCTCTTGGCAGCCGGGAAGATTTCCAGAGGATTCCAGAACTTGCCATCAACCCACTGGGGGACCGGATCATCAATGCCTTCTTTCCAGAGGGGTGAGTCAGTATAGTTGTTGGACTTCCTTCCTGAAGCTATCACAGCCTAAATTATTTGCTAACCTGGAATAATGGTATTGGTTGTGTCATCTCAGACTGTGAGATCCCCTGATTATATTGCACATTTCTAATTTTGACATTTCTAGAATATCTCTTCTGTTCTAACCTACTGTGTGTTTTAAATTTCAAATTGATATATGAGCCTATCTTCAAAATTCTGTCTTTAATCTATGCTTATTATTGATGTAAAACTAGACTTTAAAAAAATGTTTATTTGGAAATAATTTCAAATTTACAGAAAAGTTGCAAAGTGAAAAATAGTACAAAGAATACTTGTATATCTATTGCCCTGATGCATCTATTGTTGTATTGTCAACGTTTTGCTTCATTTGTGTGCTCTCTCTCTCAGTGGTAGCCAATAAAAATATAATACAAGCCATATACATAATTATACATTTTTTTCCTTTTTTTTTTTTTGTGTGTGATGGAGTTTCGCTCTTGTTACCCAGGCTGGAGTGCAGTGGCGTGATCTCGGCTCACTGCAACCTCCGCCTCCTGGGTTCGGGCAATTCTCCTGCCTCAGCCTCCTGAATAGCTGGGATTACAGGCACGCACCACCATGCCCAGCTAATTTTTTGTATTTTTAGTAGAGACGAAGTTTCACCATGTTGACCAGGATGGTCTCGATCTCTTGACCTCGTGATCCACCCGCCTCGGCCTCCCAAAGTGCTGGGATTACGGGCGTAGTAGCTCACGCCCGTAATCCCAGCAGTTTGGGAGGCCGAGGCGGGTGGATCACCAGGGCAGGAGATCGAGACCATCCTGGCTAACACATTGAAACCCTGTCTCTACTAAAAATACAAAAAATTAGCCAGGTGTTGTGGAACGCGCCTGTAATCCCAGCTACTCAGGACGCTGAGGCAGAAATCGCTTGGACTCGGGAGGCAGAGGTTGCAGTGTGCTGAGATCACACCACTGCACTCCAGCCTGGACGACAGAGCGAGACTCCATCTCAAAAAAAAAAAAAAAAAAAAAGTAAAAATAAATTAACCTTGGTAATGAGGGCAGGTGTTCTCTTTCCAGGGTCCACAAGGGGGTGTAATTTTAGGGGCAAGCATTTCCCAGTGTCATGCCCTCGTCCCATCTCTCTCCCTCCGGGAGATTTAATGGTTTATGTTTAAATTTCGCCAGCTTGGGAAGAAACAAAAAGTCAGTCACTCCAGCGGAAGTTCTAAGGAACTTCTTTCATTGGCCAGGGGTCTTAGAGAAAGTGGGGGTTCCTCCCAGGTTAAAAATCCCCTTCTTCCACATCTCTTTGGACTCCATGTTTGGATCCCCTTCCACGAACACTCTGGTGCTCGTGGAAACTGTTTTTCTCTATCCTGGATTTTCCCTCTGGAGTCCCCTGCCACGAACACTCCCTTCGTGGAAGCCTGTCTTCCCCTGCTAAACTCCATCTCTCTCTTTCCATTCCACTCAGTGTGCAAGCTGCTTTCCTCTCCTGGATTCATCTTTCTGGATTCTCTCACTTAGTGTGAGAGTTGGCTGTTTATTTCTCTCTCCTTCTCCTGTTTCTCTCTCTCTAAATAAATCACTTTATTTTTATTTTTTAATTTTTTTTTACAAAAAGCTCTGCGCATGGAAAATAAATCCCTTTCTACAAATACTTTTGAGTCTGGCATTTACTGCGCTTTGCACTGTGGTCGCCTCTCTCATTCTTGAGAGGGCAAGAGACCAAAAACCTGGAGAAAGGTTCTCTCAGGGGAGCTGAGGGCACCCTGAACCCTTGAACGCCAATATTACAGTAATATATATTTTATTTAATATATTTAAAATATTACTTTAATATGTAATCAATATTAAAAATAACAGATATTTTACTTTTTTTTTTTTTTTTTTTTTGAGACAGAGTCTTACTCTGTCGCCCAGGCTAGAGTGCAGTGGCGCAATCTCAGCTCCCTGCAACCTCTGCTTCCCGGGTTCAAGCAATTCTCCTGCCTCAGCCTCTGAGGTAGCTGGGATTATAGGCGCACACCACTCCATGCCCAGCTAATTTTTCTATTTTCAGTAGCAACGGGGTTTTGCCATGTTGGTCAGGCTGTTCTGGAATTCCCGACCCCAGGCGATCTGCCTGCCTCGGCTTACTAAAGCGCTGGGATTACAGGCATGAGTCACCATGCCTGGCCTACACTTTTTTGTAATTAGTCTTTGAAATCCAGTGTGTAATTTACATTTAAACACATACCAAGCCAGACTGACCATGTTTCCAGTACACATAGCCACATGTGACAAGTGACTGCAGTATTGAACAGTGCAGCCTGTTCTACCTATCCTCTTGCTAATGTTCCGCATACCCTCTCTTGTTCTACATACCCTTTCTTGCAGATATTTTTTCCTTTCTCTCTTCTCTCTCTGTACACACACACTATGTGTGAATGTATATATATGTACATACATATACTTATGTAATTTTTTGTGTATGTTTGTTCACATAATTGTATTTCTGAACTATTTAAGGGTAAGTTGCATAGTCATGACCTCTGAATACACCTGTGTGTGTTTGCTAAGTGTAGGGATATTCTTTTACATATCTATAGTATAGTTATCCACTTCAGTAAACTTAACATTGATAAAATGCTCTTAACTGTGTTCTGATCACCTTAGGATATTTAAAAAAAAAAAAAGAAAAGGAAAAAATACTCTTATCTATTACTGTTTTATTAATATATTATCTATCTTATCCTAATTTATATTCATATTCCAATTTTGTCATCTAATAATTTGTTTTATAGCACTTCCCTGCCTCTGGTACAGGATCTATTCTGGGTCAGTTGTCAGGGCTCTTTAGCCTCCTTTAATCTGGAACATTTCCACAGACTTTATTTTACTTTTGTGATACTGAATAAAGATACAGTTCTCGTCACACACACACTTTGTCAAGCAGATTGTTCCTAATGTGGGATTTTCTAATGTGAAAGTAGTCTTTTGATGTGCTTCACTACCTAACACCCTGCCTTCATAGTGCTGAGTAAATATTTATTGATTTGATTAGGTACCTTTTCATGAATAAAGCTTACATATAAGCTTGTTTTAAGTAATTTCCTAAACAGTCTCTTCCTGGTTCATATGAATAGTCTTATGACCCACAGGAATTCAAAATATTATATGCATGCCAATTCTTAATAATGAGACTGTCAATGAGGATACTGTCAGATAAAATGCCTGGAGAGGAAATTTTGGAACTCTAAATTGAGAGCAAAGGAATTTGCTAGTTGAGAGGGTTAGGCACTCAGTAAATGTGAGCAAAAGTCAGAAGGGGAAGTTAGTTCATGTAAAGGCGGGAATCAAATCCTGTTGACAATGAGGAATCTTGTGCCCTCCTTTATTTTTCTCTTTCTCCTTGAACCGGCCTATTTATTTCAGGTGTGGTGTGTCTGCTGAATTCTTCCTTTTTCTACTTCTTCTTTTATCCCTGCAAAGCACTGAATCCTATCCAGAGATAACTTTAACAGCTATGCTTTGTATCCAAACCTTGTGCAATGAAAACTAAACCCAGGAGAGTCGCTGTGCCAACTTTTTTTCAGAGTTCCTTAGTCACCATTGATTACTTGAAGAAACAAACTTGTGGGAAGCTGTTTTTTAAGGCTAAACCACATTTGCTGTGGCTACAGTATCACCTGCCATTCTGTCCACCAATCGACTGCTAAGGAAATGGGACAGAGTGCATATGAAGAAATGGAGGGCTCTTCTGGGCTGCATGGCTTAGCTCTTAGCAAGCTGTGCCTCTGCCTCTTGCTCTAATCACATAGATGTATTTGGCTTCTGGGTTTTTCTTTCTTCCCTAGTCATGTGCACATGGAGGCTTTTTAAACATTTTTTTATTTTAAGAGTGAGGTATGAAAGTGGACCATGGTTATTTAATTCCTTTTTACCCAGAAACTTTATGTTATCAATACTCATTAGTGTTTTTTCTGGCATATGATTTAAATTTTACTCCACATTACTTGATTTCTCAGATCTTACATTTTTCACCAGTTACTGGTCCATTAGCAATATAGATACCTTGAAGAACTAGAAGGTCACTCTTTTTTGTTTGTTTTGTTTTTTTGAGGCAGAGTATCCATTGGTCACTCAGGCTGGAGTGCAGTGGAATGATCTTGGCTCACTGCAACCTTCACCTCCTGGGTTCAACCAATTCTCCTTCGTCAGCCTCCCCGAGTATCTGGGACTACAGACACACGCCACCATGCCTGCCTAATTTTTTTTGTATTTTTAGTAAAGATGAGGTTTCGCCATGTTGGACAGGCTGATCTCGAATTCTTGACCTCAGTTGATCCGCCCGCCTCGGCTTCCCGAAGTGCTGGGATCTGGCCCCAGGAGTGAGCCACCGTGCCCAGCCAAGGTCATTCTTTTGAGTACAGATGGCTCACAGGCTAGGCTTTGAACTCTGCCTCTAGAAAGTCCCTGAACTGCGTGTCTATAGAAGAGATCCTACATACCTCGACTATTCAGTGGGGCACAGAGAGATTTTTTTTTTTTAGGTAACCAGAGGAAACAGGCCACCTGCCTTAGATAAATATTATGTCACATAGGACATTCTTTTTTTATTATTATTATTTTTTTATGTGTTGTCCAGGCTGGAGTGCAGTGGCTCTTCACAGACACGATCCCATTACTGATCAGCATGGGAATTTTGACTCACTCCATTTCCGACCTCGGCCAGTTCACCCCTCCTTAGGCAACCTGGTGGTTCCTTGCTCCCAGGAGGTCACCATATTGATCCTGAACTTAGTGCGGACACCTGATTGGCATAGTGCACTACAGCACAGAACTCCTGGGCTCAAGTGGTCCTCCAGCCTCAGCCTACCAAGTAGCTGGGATTACAGGCACATGCCTCCGCGCCCAGCTCTTTTTTTTTTTAATTTTTATTTTCACCACTATACTAACGAGAATCTTTTTTTATTATTAAAGAACATCTTCATTCAAGTTTTGAGAATTATTATTATTTTTTTTTGAGAGAGAGAGTCTCGCTCTGTCTCTCAGGCTGGAGTGCAGCAGTGTGATCTTGGCTTACTGCAACCTCTGCCTCCTGGGTTCAGGCTATTCTCCTGCCTCAGCCTCCCAAGTAGCTGGGACTACAAGCACATGCCACCACACCCAGTTAATTTTTTGTATTTTTAGTAGAGATGGGGTTTCTCTGTGTTAGCCAGGATGGTCTCTATCTTCTGACCTCATGATCTGCCCACCTCGTCCTCTCAAAGTGCTGGAATTATAGGCATTAGCTATCATACCCAGCTGAGAATTATTTCTTATAGGGTTATTGATTAGCCTGTGGCAGAATAAAAAGATTTTCTCTAAGCTTAAGTGCCAAAAAGGCTTTAAATACAAGAGGTCTTTCAAAACATTTTTTTTTTTTCTGAGATGAAGTCTCCCTGTGTCACCCAGGCTGGAGGGCAGTGGCATGATCTTGGCTCACTGCAACCTCCATCTCCAGGGTTCAAGCAGTTCTCATGCCTTAGCCTTTTGAGTAGCTGAGATTATAGGCACACACCACCACACCCATCTAGTTTTTGTATTTTTAGTAGAGACAGGGTTTTACCATATTGGCCAGGCTGGTCTTGAACTCCTGACCTCAGGTGATCCACCCTCCTCAGCCTCCCAAAGTGCTGGGATTACAGGTTGAGCCACTGTGCCCGGCCCAAAATATTATTTAGCAAAAACTTGGCCAATTATAAGGGAATAATAAAATCATGATGTGTCCACAGAATTATGCATGGATTTTAAATGTTTCGAAGTGTTTATATTGATTGGAGAAATGCTTAAAAGTTAAAAAAAAAAAAAAAAAAGGCAGGATACCAAATTACATAATACAGTATATTTGTAATTATCTGAAAAGCATAGATAAGTTACAAGAAGAAAATATATTCATATATATATATTCATATATATATATATGGGGATCTTGCACTGTCATCTGTGCTGGAGTGCAGTGGTGCAATCTCAGCTCACTGCAACCTCTGCCTCCTGGGTTTAAGTAATTCTCCCATCTCAGCTTCCCAAATAACTGGGAGTATAAGCATGAGCCTGCCTTTCTTTCTTTTTCCTTCCTTCCTTCTTTCCTTCTTTCCTTCCTTCTTTCTTTCTTTCTTTCTTTCTTTTCTGTTTTGAGACAGATTCTCACCCTGTCACCCAGGCTGGAGTGCAGTGGCATGATCTCAGCTCACTGCAACCTCCACCTTCCAGGTTCCAATGATTCTTCTGCCTCAGCTTCCAGTAGCTGAGATTATAGGCGCCAGCCACCATGCTCAGCTAATATTTCTATTTTTAGTAGAGATGGGGGTTTCACCATGTTGGCCAGGCTGGTCTCAAACTCCTGACCTTGTGATCCACCTGCCTTGGCCTCCCAAAGTGCTGGGATTACTGGCATGAGCCACTGCGCCAGGCTTTTTTTTTTTTTTTTTTTAAGACAGAGTTTCCTCTGTCACCCAGATTGGACTTCAGTGCTGCAATCTTGGCTCACTGCACACCTCTTCCTCCTGGGTTCAAGTGATTCTCCTGCCTCACCCTCCTGAGTAACTGGGTGCCCACCACCAGGTCCAGTTCATTTTTTTGTATTTTTAGTAGAGACAGGTTTTACCATGTTGGCCAGGCTGGTCCAATCTCCTGGCCTCAAGTAATCCACCTGCATCGGCCTCCCAAAGTGTTAGGATTACAGGTGTGAGCTACTACGCCCAGCCAGTATTTTTCTTTTTTGAGATGGAGTCCCACTATGTCCCCCAGGCTGGAGTGCAATGACACGTTATTGGCTCACTGCAACCTCCACCTTTTGGGTTCAAGTGATTCTCCCATCTCAGCCTCCCGAGTAGCTGGGACTACAGCCTTGTGCCACTACACCCGGCTAATTGTTTTGTATTTTTAGTAGAGTCAGGATTTCACAAAGTTGGCCTGGCTGGTCTTGAACTCCTGACCTTGTGATTTGCCTGCCTTGGCCTCTCAAAGTGCTGGGATTACAAGTGTGAGCCACAAAATCCGGTCCCAGGATCAGTATTTTTCTGTCTACTTTTCTTTTCTCCAAATTTTCAAAAATATGTTTGCTTTCATAATTAAATAAATTTGGCTAGGTGCAGTGACTCATGCCTGTAATCCCAGTGCTGTAGGAGGCTGAGGCAGGTAGATCATGAGGTCAGGAGATCGAGACCATCCTGGCTAACACAGTGAAACACTATCTCCACTAAAAATACAAAAAATTAGCTGGATGTGGTGGCATGCACCTGTAGTCCCAGCTACTTGGGAGGCTGAGGCAGGAGAATCTCTTGAACCTAGGGTGGCAGAAGTTGCAGTGAGCCGAGGTCGCACCACTGCACTCCTGCCTGGGCAACAGAATGAGACTCCATCTCAAAATAAATAAATAAAAAGTAAAAATTTAATAAACTTTATTTTAAAAGCAGCTGTTCTATAATGTACCCTTATTTAAAAATATTCCAAGTATACATTACTGCAGGAGGTATGTGGGAGATGGCTGAGGAGTCATTGGGTTGAATTGACTTAACCTGTGGCTCGCTGCAGAGTTCAAAGCAATGAGTTCAGGTTCTCGTTCTCTTTTAGAGTGCTGGCACTACTCTATGTCTGTTTTTTGGAAAAGAGTTATAAGTAAATTCAATAGCTAACTGTAGCCCTGGTAAGTCCTGTTACCTAAGTCTGGTTAAATCATTTATAAAGTGGAAGTAATAGTGGGAGTAAAAGCACCTGCCCCTTAAGGTTGGTGTGAGGCTTAGATAAGAAGGTACTATGAGCCCCAAAGTACCATGCATATGGAAAGAAACCTCATTAAATGGACTTTCAGGTGATTGTAGCTAAAGCTGTTGATTTAATTAATTCGTAAAAAATAATCACTGTGATTGACATGGTGTTCTCTTTGTTATACTTCACAATCAGAGAGGACCAAGTAAACTTCCGTGGATTCATGCGAACTCTGGCTCATTTCCGCCCCATTGAGGATAATGAAAAGAGCAAAGATGTGAATGGACCCGAACCACTCAACAGCCGGAGCAACAAACTGCACTGTAAGGAGCTAAAGTCTTCTGGCTTAAAATACATGCTGTTTATTCCTTAAAAATCATGTATTTATTCATTCATTATTTGAACAAGCATTTACAAGAACATATTGGTTAAGACCTCAGACTCTGGAGCTAAACTAGTCAAATTTAAATCCTAGTCTACCTCTTTTTGGCCATATGACTTTGGGCTAGATACTTAACATCTTTGGGCTTTGGTTTTCTCTTCTGTAAATGGGATGTTAAGGGCTTCCGCATTGGATTGTTGTGAGGATTAAATGAGGGAATAAATGTCAAGTGCTTCAAACAGTGCCTGGCATGTACTAGGTACTTAATAAGTGTTGCCTAGTATCATTATAATTCACTGAGCACCTACTGTGTGCCAGGCACTGCGGTAATTACTAGCATGGCAATAGTGAACAAGACACAGGCTCTACCTTTAAGGAATGTGGCAGTCCTCAGCTCATCTTAGAATTTGGTAGACCCTGGGTCCTCAGCTTATCTTAGAATTTGATAGACACTGGCTATGACTTAAGTAGGGGGGAATAGCTGGATATAGTGCTGTATTTAATTTTTATACCCATGTCTCATGCCTCTTTTCCTTTAATACTTGTTTGCTTTCCCTTCTGCCCTTACTCATTCATGTATGATATTGCCCAATCCCTTAAAACACTTCTCCAGGAAATTGAAATTGAATTTCTCTTTTTATTCAGTACAACTTGAAATTAAAATTGTATTAAAACTGACTGAAGGCTGGGTGCAGTGGCCGATGCCTGTAATCCCATCACGTTGGAAGGCCAGGGTAGGTGGGTCACTTGAGCCCAGGAGCTTGAGACCAGCCTGGGCAATATGATGAAACACCGTCTCTAATAAAAATACAAAAATTTGCCAGGTGTGTGCCATGCACCTGTGGCCCCAAGTACTTAGGAGGCTGAGGTAGGAGAATTGCTTGAGCCTGAGAGGTTGAGGCTACAGTGAGCCATGATGGCACCACTGCACTTCAGCGCAGGTGACAGAAGCTCTGTCTCAAAAAAGAAATAAAACAAAATCTTCCAAATAGCACTAGTGGATTTGGACATTAGTTGGTGTCTTAGGATGCCTTTAGTTGACTCAGCTGGCTTAAACAATAAGGAAATATATTAGCTCACTTTGTAAGTCAGGTTAGGCCAGCAGGAGGGTTGATTGTGTTTCAAGCACTAGGGATTTTTCTCTTTACTCTGCCATCCTCGTAGTCTGTTTTATCCTAAGGTATTATGGTCATATGACAGCTCTCAGTTGTTAACAGGGCTTCTTTTTCTTCTTGTTCACATCTGGCAGTAGAGGAAGAGAGATATATGTAGAGAGAGATCGAGACTGAAATTGAAATTGAGCGACACTCCTCCCAAGCATGGAATGTAAGTCCTTCCCCTCACTTTGATAAGTCAGTTTAGGTCAGGAGAGTGCCAAGTGCTAAGGAGATTAGGCTAACGAGATTCCCCTCCTAAAGCTGTGGTTGGGGTTCTGCTAAGGAAGAAGGTTGGAATGCACAGAAATGGCAAATTTCAGGATGAGACAGAATAATAATAAAGTGCTATGCAGGTTATGCTTGGGTTTGTTTTTTCTTAATTTTTTTTTTTTTTTTGAGACAGGGTCTCACTCTGTCACCCAGGCTGAGTGCAGTGGCATGATCATGGCTCACTACAGCCTTGACTTTCTGGGCTCAAGTGATCCTTTTGCCTCAGCCCCACAAGTTGCTAGGACTACAGGTGTGTGCACTACACCCAACTAATTTTTTTTTCTCCCAAACTGCTCAGCAGGATAATTTTTCATTTTCTAATTTTTTGTGGGGACACAGTCTCACTGTGTTGCCCAGACTGGTCTCAAAATCCAGGAAGCAAGCAATCATCCCACCTTGGCCTCCTGAAATGCTGGGATTACAGGCATGAGCCACCATACCCAACCTGTCTTTTTCATTACATACGTTAGTCTTGGCTGTTGGATTAATTTTTACAGGAAGCTAAAAATTAATTCGAATTCTGTTGCAGTCTCTCTGTAGGGCTCACGTTCATGTAGTTAAACCAGTAAAACCAAAGCTATTCAGAGGCCAAAGAAAAGATGGAAGAGCCTGAAAAGTCCTCAATTTCTATCTGTTGCTTCTCTTTGAACTTCCCACAGGGCTGTATAAGCTGCAGGATGGTGCCTCTTGTTGCAGACTGTGGGCAATTGAATGTCATATACAATATCTCAGGGCAACACATTTGCCACTGAAACACATTTACCTTAGAGATAGGGGATGTGTTACTTAGAAATGTGGATTTACAGGCCAGGTGTGATGGCTTATGCCTGTAATCCCAGCACTTTGGGGGGCCAAGGCAGGTGAATCACTTGAGGTCGAGAGTTCAAGACCGGCCTGGTCAACATGGTGAAACTTGTCTCTACTAAAAATACAAAAAATTAGCTGGGTGTGGTGGCACCTGTAATACCAGTTATTCAGGAGGTCGAGTCAGGAGAATAGATTGAAGTGGGGCGGGGCGGAAGTTGCAGTAAGCCTAGATTGCACCATTCTCTCCAACCTGGGCGACAGAGTGAGACTTCATCTCAAAAAAAAAAAAGAAAGAAAGAAAGAAAGAAAGAAATGTGGGTTTACGGAAGAGTGGAACCAAATTTTATCATGGTTTCTCCTTTGCACAGAATACTGTCTTCAGGAACTCTGAGAACACACCTTGTTCTTTTTATGTGCCACAGTGAGAGAACTTTTTTTTTTTTTGAGATGGAGTTTCACTCTTGTTGCCCAGTTCTGGAGTGCTATGGCGTGATCTCAGCTCAGTGCAGCCGCCACCTCCTGGGTTCAAGCGATTCTCCTGCCTCAAACTCCCGAGTAGCTGGGATTACAGGCACCCACCACCATGCCCAGCTAATTTTGTATTTTTAGTAGAGATGGGATTTCTCCATGTTGGTCAGGCTGGTCTCGAACTCTCGACCTCAGGTAATCCACCCAGCTCAGCCTCCCAACGTGTTAGGATTACAGGTGTGAGCCACCGTGCCCAGCCGAGAATTTCAATCACAATCAGCAAGGCTAAAAACTGTGCCCACGTAGGCACAGGCCCAAGTACACATAGTGCTACCCTGATCTTCTGTTTGTCTTCTGGAAGTGGTACCTTATTGCTTTTCTCTTTGGATTGGTGAAGTTATAATAATGCTTTGGTTAGGCCATGTGCAGTGGATCACGCCTGTAATCCCAGCACTTTGGGAGGCCAAGGCGGGTGGATCACAAAATCAGGAGTTCAAGACCAGCCTGACCAACATGGTGAAATCCCGTCTCTACTAAAAATACAAAAATTAGCTGGGCATGGTGGCACGTGCCTGTAATCCAAGCTACTCAGGAGACTGAGGCAGGAGAATCGCTTGAACCTGGGAGGTGAAGGTTGTAGAGAGCCAAGATCGCACCATGGTGCTCCAGCCTGGGCGACAGAGAAAGACTGTCTCAAAAAAAAAAAAAAAAGTGAAAGGTATAGAATATCCATCTTAGAATGCCCCAGGGCATGGTAAATAAGAGAATTCAAGAGGTCTATAGGGTTTCCTTCCCACTTTCTAATTGTCCTTTTAGATGGTTTACATTTGTAGAACATATAATGATGCAGAAAGTAGCGTCCACATTAGAATATTTTATTTGGGTGTTGAGGAGTATAGGTGGAGTAGAGCTTGGAAGTGTAGCCAGGAAGAAATAGCAGCATTATTCATAGAATCATCCGGTAGAAGCAATTAAAAGGTAGAAGCAATCTTAGTGTTCGTCAATAGATCAATGGATAAATAAAATGTATAGATATACAATAGAATATTAGTCTGTGTTAAAAAAGGAAATTCTGGCACATGGTACAACATGGATAAATCTTGAAGACATCATGCCAAATGAAATAAAGTGGATGTGAAAGGACAGATATTGTATGATTCCTCTTATGTGAGGTTTCCAGAGTGGTGAAATTTGTAGAGATGGAAAGTAGAATGGTGCTTGCCCAGGGCTGGGGGCTGGGGGATGGTGGTGGTGATGGTAATGGAGTTACTGTTAAAAGGGTGCCTTTTGGCCGGGTGCGGTGGCTCACACCTATAATCCCAGCACTTTGGGAGACCGAGGCAGGTGGATCACAAGGTCAAGAGATCGAGACCATCCTGGTTAACATGGTGAAACCCTGTCTCTACTAAAAATACAAACATTAGCTGGGCATGGTGGTGCGCGCCTGTAGTCCCAGCTACTCGGGAGGCTGAGGCAGGAGAATTGCTTGAACCCAGAAGGCGGAGGTTGCGGTGAGCCAAGATCATGCCATTGCACTCCAGTCTGGGTAACAACAGCGAAACTCCGTCTCAAAAAAAAAAAAAAAGAAAGAAAGGTGCCTTTTCTGCTGGTAAAGATGCAGAAGTTATGGAGAGATGGATGGTGGTAATGCTTACACAACAGAGTGAAAGTACTTAATGCCACAGAACTGTGCCTGTAGAGAAGGTTAAAATGATAAATTTTAGGTATATTTTACCATAGTAAAAAAAGAAGCAATAGCATTCATTGAAGTAAAGGTAAAGGTTTGTAGCGTGGACAACAGAGTGAGACCCAGTATCTACCAAAAAAAAAAAAAAAAATGAGCTGGGCATGGTGCTACACACCTGTATTCCTAGCTACTCAGGAGGCTGAGGCAGGAGGATCACTTGAACCCAAAGTTCAGGGCTGCAGTGAGCCATGATCACACCACTGCACTCCAGCCTGAGCAACAGAGTGAGACCCTATTTCTTTTTTTGAGACCAAGTTTCACTCTTGTTGCCCAGGCTGGAGTGCAATGGTGTGATCTTGGCTCACTGCATCCTCCGCCACCAGGTTCAAGTGATTCTCCTGCCTCTCAGCCTTCCTGCCTCAGCCTCCCGAGTAGCTGAGATTACAGCAACACGCCACCATGCCTGGCTAATTTTGTATTTTTAGTAGAGACAGGGTTTCTCCATGTTTGACAGGCTGGTCTCGAACTCCTGACCTCAGGTGATCCACTCACCTCAGCCTCCCAAAGTGCTGGGATTACAGGTATGAGCTACTGCACTCAGCTGACCTTATTTCTTAAAAAAAAAAAAAAAAAAAAGGGTGGAGGTTTGACTGAGCTCATTCCTTTCATTTTTCATTAAACAAATGTTTGAGCACCTACTATTTGCCAGTAAGTTTAGGCTCAGGATACAATGATAAATAAATCAGGTAAGGTCCTTACTAAGAGAGACAGATTATAGGGAAGATTGATGAATAAACAAGATTTATTATGGTAGCAAGGTCTGTGAAGGAAGTGAATACATGAGATGAGAAAGTCATGGGGAGATGTCACTACTTTACAAAGAGTGGTCAGTGAAAACCTCTCTGAGGAGTTGAAATTTGAGCCAAAGGCCTGGTCACAGTGGCTCACACCTCTAATCCTAGCACTTTGGAAGGCTGAGGCAGAAGGATTGCTTGAGCCCAGGTGTTCAGGACAATCTGGGCAATATAGTAAGACCCTATCTCTACAAAAATTTTTAAATATTAGCCAGGCGCCGGGCACTGCGGCTCACACCTGTAATCTCAGCTCTTAGGGAGGCAGAGGCGGGAGGATAGCTTGAGCCCAGGAGTTTGAGACCTGCCTGGGCAATATAGCAAGACCCCGTTCTCCACAAAAAGGAAAAAAACAAAAAGACAAAGAAGAAATGAACTGGGCGTGGTGTCTGTGGTCCCAGCTACTCTGGAGGCTGAGGTGAGAGGATCCTTTGAGCCTGGGAGGTTGAGGCTGCAGTGAGTCATGATTGTTGCACTCCAGCCTGGAAGACAGAAGGAGCCTGTCTCAAAAAAAAAAAAAAAAGCTAACCAAATTAAACAAATAAAAAAATTAGAAAGTCTCTCCTAGCTACTTCCTTTCTCCAGAATTCTGATATATAACTTACAAAGACTAAATTAGATTAAAAAAAGTTTTTTTTTGAGACAGAGTCTCACTCTGTCACCGAAGCTGGAGTGCAGTGGCATGATCTCAGTTCACTGCAACCTCTGCCTCCCACATTCTAGCAGTTCTCCTGCCTTAGCCTCCCAAGTATCTAGGACTATAGGCACATGCTGCCACCCTCAGCTAATTTTTTGTATTTTAGTAGAGACAGGGTTTCACCTTGTTGCCCAGGCTGGTCTCGAATTCCTGAGCTCAGGCAATCCACCAGCCTTGGCCTCCCAAAGTGCTAGGATTACAGGTGTGAGCCACTGTACCTGGCCTGTTTTTACTTCATCTTTTAATGGACTCACCCTTTTATTTTGGAGGGCAGAAATATTTATTTTATTATTATTATTATTTTGAGATGGAGTTTCACTCTTGTTGCCCAGGCGGGAGTGCAATGGTACAATCTGGGCTCATCGCAACTTCTGCCTCCCAGGTTGAAGCAATTCTCCTGCCTCAGCCTCCCAAGTAGCTGGGATTACAGGCATGCATCACCATGCCTGGCTAATTCTTTTGTATTTTTAGTAGAGATGGGGTTTCTCCATGTTGGTCAGACTGGTCTCGAACTCCCAACCTCAGGTAATCCACCTGCCTTGGCCTCCCAAAGTACTGGGATTAGAGGCATGAGCCACCACTGCCGGCAAGGATATTTAAACCTGTAGATAGGAATCCACGTTCTTATGCCTTTGTGCCTAATAATAGCTCTTCGGAATGCCCACCCCGGTCACATTTTTGTCTTTCAAGGCCTTGTTCAAAGGTAATCTCTCCTTGATGTTTCCCCAGCTCCACCAAAAAGCTGCATCTGCCATACACTTTGTTACTCCCGCATTTTGGATATGTTGTAGAGCTTAGGATATATTTGAGGGGGTCGTGTATTGCTCTCCTCTACGAGATAGTGAGTTCCTAAGGACAGAGTCTAAATCCGTGGATCTTTATAGCTCTAGAGCAGTGGATTTGGGCCTTTTAGTATTTGCGACACCCTATTTATGACCCACAGTCTTAGTGGCATTCTTCAAGAGTGATTCAAAACCTAAAAACCATGCTAAATTCAGTTGTGAGAGAAGACATTCATATCCTCAGGGTGAATTTTTCTCATGGCACCTATAAATCATCCAGTGTTATTACCCTATTCTTTTGGTAGCCTTTCAGCAGCATGGTAGAAATGTAATGATTTTGCTCTTCTGATTTCTCTCTCATCTGGACCCAAGCAAAGTTCTCATATATCCTAGTTTCTAGAAGGCTTAAAGAGAAAGAAACATGATAAGGCCAGGAGACCATCTGAGCCATCATATTTATTTGAAACTCAATTTCTTTTTCTTTTTTGAGATGGAGTCTCACTCTGTCACCCAGGCTGGGATGCAGTGGCACAATCTCAACTCGCTGCAATCTCCACCTCCCAGGTTCAAGTGATTTTCCTGCCTCAGTCTTTTGAGTAGCTGAGATTACAGGTGCCCACTACCACGCCCAGCTAATTTTTGTATTGTTAGTGGAGACGAGGTTTCATGGTGTTGACCAGGCTAGTCTTGAACTGCTGACCTTATGATCCGCCCACCTCGGCCTCCCAAAGTGCTGAGATTACAAGCGTGAGCCACGTGGCCCAGACTGAAACTCAGTTTATCTGCATGACTCCCAAGTGATAGAGAATTACTTGAAATTTGAGACAATTTTGCCCAAGAGGCTCTATTCCCAAAGCAGTACTTAGTGTCGTCAGCTCTCATGTTGCCTGTGGGGCACCTATTGTTGGTTTTCCCTGAGTGGTGCCTGGTAGAATTCATGTTTGTGTGAGGTGACCTAACTTACAGAACCACGTAAGGGATGTTTGGGGGACTAACATTCTAGGTTAAGAAAAAGGACATTTGGCTTTCTTTTTATGAAGTTTTCTGATTTGTTGGAACAGAGACCATACTTCAAGCAATCTAAGATCACATCAATTCTCAGTTCTTCAGTGTTACAATTTTTTTAAAGCCCTACAAGTAATGGCAGTTGTTCTTAAAAAAAATCGACTAATTGGCTGTCAGTTTTCTGTCTAGTGTCTTATATATTTAGCTTCTTCTTTTTTTTTTTTTTTTCTTTTTGAGATGGAGTTTCACTGTTGTTACCCAGACTGGAGTGCAATGGCACGATCTCGGCTCATGGCAACCTCCGCCTTCTGGGTTCAAGCAGTTCTCCTGCCTCAGCCTCCCGAGTAGCTGGGACTACAGGCGCGCACCACCATGCCCAGCTAATTTTTGTATTTTTAGTAGAGACGGGGTTTCACCTTGTTGACCAGGATGGTCTCGATCTCTTGATCTCGTGATCCACCTGCCTCGGCCTCCCAAAGTACTGGGATTATAGGTGTGAGCCACCACACCCAGCCATATTTAGCTTCTTGAGAAGGGGTGACACACTACAGAATTTCGACTAACTTTGTGTTTTTCCCTTACAGTTGCTTTTCGATTATATGATTTGGATAAAGACGACAAGATCTCCCGTGATGAGCTGTTACAGGTATGTGGGAGAGCTCCTGGAGAACTTGTGTTTGGACCCTGCCTGCTTATTAGTATGGGCAGGAACTATTCTTTCCTTTAGTAAGCATTTACTTAATACCTGCTATGTGCAGAGCCCTGACCTGGTTATAAGGCAAAGGAGATGCCCTGGTAAAACTTGAAATAGCTCATTGTGTTTTCATAGACAGATATCTCTGCTATTTAAAAGCTAACTAGGGCCAGCCATCATGGATCATGCCTGTAATCCCAGCACTTTGGGAGGTTGAGACAGGTGGATCATGAGGTCAAGAGTTCGAGACCAGTCTGACCAACATAGTGAAACCCCGTCTCTACTAAAGATACAAAAAAAATTAGCCAGGTATGTTGGCAGATGCCTGTAATCCCAGCTACATGAAAGGCTGAGGCAGGAGAGTCGCATGAATCTGGGAGGTGGAGGATGCAGTGAGCCGAGATGGTGCCATTGCACTCCAGCCCACGTGACAGTGCGAGACTCCACCTCAATCAATCAATCAGTCAGTAAAATAAAAGCTAACTAGGCTGAGCACAGTGGCTCATACCTGTAATCCTAGCACTTTGGAAGGCCAAGGTAGACGGATCACCTGAGGTCAGGAGTTCAAGAGCAGCCTGGCTAACATGGTGAAACCCCACTTCTACTAAAAATACAACAATTATCTGGGCATGGTGGCAGGTGCCTGTAGTCCCAGCTACTTGGGAGGCTGAGGCAGCAGAATTGCTTGATCCTAGGAGGTGGAGGTTGCAGTGAGCTGAGATCCCGTCACTACACTCCAGCCTGGGCGACAAGAGCAAAACTCAATCTCAAATAAATAAGTAAATAAACAAACAAACAAACAAAATAGGCTGATGCCCTTTTCAGCCTCAGCCCACCTGCACCCGGGTGAATAAAAAATAAAATGCAATAAAATAAAAGCTAACTAAATGGCTTTTACGTACTAACAGTTAAAATATACAACATGATTTAGATCAGATAGTTCAGTTATTGACAAATAAGATTGTTGGCAGCCAGGTAATTCTAATGATACTTAGGTAAATGCTGTTATTTAGTCTGTCCTTAGGCTTGACATAAGAGTCAAGGAGCTGCTGCTGTGCTGGTGTACCTTGAGCTAACTGCCCACTTTCCTTGTTGCTCCTAGGGATAATTTCCTGTTTTCCTCCTAGCAGTGACTGGCATTTCATCTTATTAGCATTGCCCTTTTCTTCCTCCTACCTCTTCTCCTTCTATAAAGTTAGAAGGGATGAAAATTACGCTTTTAAAAAGTGTGTGGTCTGAGTGTGGTGGCTCACACCTGTAATCTCAGCACTTTTTTTTTTTTTGAGACGGAGTTTCGCTCTTGTTACCCAGGCTGGAGTGCAATGGCGCGATCTCGGCTCACCGCAACCTCCACCTCCTGGGTTCAGGCAATTCTCCTGCCTCAGCCTCCCGAGTAGCTGGGATTACAGGCACACGCCACAATGCCCAGCTAATTTTTTGTATTTTTAGTAGAGACGGGGTTTCACCATGTTGACCAGGATGATCTTGATCTCTTGACCTCATGATCCCCCCACCTTGGCCTCCCAAAGGGCTGGGATTACAGGCTTGAGCCACCGCGCCCGGCCAACGTGGAGAAACCCTGTCTGGACTAAAAATAAAAATTAGCTGGGTATAATGGTGGGCACCTATAATTTCAGCTACTCAGGAGGCTCAGGCAAGAGAATTGCTTGAACTCGGAAGGCAGAGGCTGTAGTGAGCTGAGATCGCACCATTGTACTCCAGGAGCAACAACAGCAAGACTGTCTCAAAAAATAAGCAAACAAAACAAAGCAAAAACAAACAAAAAATGTGTGTGTGTGTGTGTGTGTGTGTGTGTGTGTATTTATGAGTCTGGACTCTAGGAGACTAACACATTGGATTTCCATGGGGAAAGTTCTCTATTTCAAGATATACTTAAAAAAATAAAGTGGTTTCCACCCATTCATTCAGAGTATTATCTTCCATGTTGAAGATTACTCAGGCAGACTCAGGAGCAACCCATCATATTCTTAGGTTTCTATGAGCAGAAACCAAAACAGTCAGTGTTAGTCCCTTGCTTCTGAGTTGGGAAATTCTTTAGTGAGAAGCGTTTGCTTTCTTGCAAGTTGCTACATATAGACTTCTGAGTTCTGAAGAGAAAAAGACAGGTGTGGGCCTGGTGTGGTGGCTCACGCCTATAATCCCAGCACTTTGGGAGGCTGAGGGCGGGTGGATCAAAAGGTCAAGAGATCGAGACCATCCTGGTCAACAAGGTGAAACCCCGTCTCTACTAAAAATACAAAAATTAGCTGGGCATGGTGGTGTGCGCCTGTAGTTCCAGCTACTCGGGAGGCTGAGGCAGGAGAATTGCTTGAACCCAGAAGGCGGAGGTTGCGGTGAGCCGAGATCATGCCATTGCACTCCAGTCTGGGTAACAACAGCGAAACTCCATCTCAAAACAAACAAACAAACAAAAAAAACCAAAAAGAGATAAAAGAGCCAGTCACTCTATAGTTGACATGTGTTACCACTCTGGCCCAAATCTGGTTGCCAGAAAGATTTTTTTGGAGTGGAGGATTGATTTATTTTTTATTATTAGGGTATAGAAAGCCTGAGGCAGGCAATGGGGAGGAGACCATATAGCCGGAGTGATAGTCAGTGCCACCAAAGCATTCCTGGGACCAGGAATGACTTTGGGACAAATGTGCTCATGGACTGTTGAGGCATCAATCAGTTTTATCCTAGCGAGAAGAGGATATGAACATTTTACCAAGTTAGAGAAGAGAACAAAGTTTATCTTTTTAGGCACTGCAATTTCTAAAACATTTGGAAATTTTCAATTCTTAGCTCTTCAGTGTTTTGTTTTGTTTTTTGAGATAGTCTGGCTCTGTCGCCCAGGCTGGAGTGCAGTGGCGTGATCTCCACTCACTACAACCTCTGCCTCCCAGGTTCAAGCCATTCTCCTGCCTCAGCCTCCCAAGTAGCTGGGATTATGGGCATGCGCTACCACACCTAGCTAATTTTTATATTTTTAGTTGAGACGGGGTTTCACCATGTTGGGCAGGCTGGTCTCGAACTCCTGACCTTGTGATCACACCCGCCTCAGCTTCCCAAAGTGCTGGGATTACAGACATGAGCCACCGTGCCTGGACTTCAGTGGATGTTAAGAATTTTGTGGCGAGTTCATCCTAAGGAAAGACTGAGTGGTCATGTTTGCTTGCTTACTTTTTTTTTTTTTTTTTTTTTTTGAGATGAGTCTTGTTCTTTCACCCAGGCTAGACTGCAATGGTGGGATCTTGGCTCACCACAACCTCTACCTCCTGAGTTCAAGCAATTCTGCCTCAGCCTCCTGAGTAGCTGGGATTACAGGTGCCTGCTACCACGCCTGGCTAATTTTTGTATTTTTAGTAGAGATGGGGTTTTACCACGTTGACCAGGCTGGGATGTGAGCCATCGCCCCCTGCCACAACTGCTAATTTTCAAGAATTGGTTTATTTAAAAAATAACCAGTTTGGATACAAATCAGTATTTCAGCTTTTTTTCTTTTTAGAAAATCACTGCATTTACTATTGATGGATTGATTGATTGACTGATAGGGTCTCCCTCTGCTGCCTAGCCTGGAGTGCAGTGACTATTCATAGGCATGATCACAGCACATTCCAGCCTTGCACTCCTGGGCTCAGACCATCCGCTTTCCTTAGCCACCCAAGTAGCTGGAACTATAGGCACACACTACTAACCCAGCTTGTAATTTACTTTTTAAAAATCTGTTTCATGGGCCGCATGCAATGGCTCACACCTATAATCCTAGCACTTTGGGAGGCCGAGGCGAGTGGATAACCTGAGGTCAAAAGTTTGAGACCAGCCTGACCAACATGGTAAAACTCCATCTCTACTAAAAACACAAAAATTAGCCAGGAATGGTGGTAGGCGCCTGAAATCCCCACTACTCAGTAGGCTGAGGCAGGAGAATCACTTGAATCTGGGAGGTGGAAGTTGCAGTGAGCTGAGATAGTGCCATTGCACTCCAGCCTGGGTGACAAGTGAGACTGTCTCAAAAAAAAAAAAAAAATCTATTTCATGAGACTGTAGAAGGAAGTAAAGGACTGGGCGCAGAGGCTCATGCTTGTAATCCCAGCACTTTGGGAGGCTGAGGCAGGTGGATCACCAGGTCAGGAATTCAAGACCAACCTGGCAAACATGGTGAGACCCCATCTCTACTAAAAATACAAAAAAAAATAAACCGGGCATGGGGGCACGCACCTGCATTCCTAGCTAGTCAGGAGCCTGAGGCAAGGAGAATCGCTTGAACCCTAGAGGTGGAGGTTACAGTGAGCCGAGATTGCACTGTTGCACTTCAGCCTGGGGGACAGAGCGAGCCTCCGCCTCAAAAAAAAAAAAAAAAAAAAAAGTAAAGGAGTGGAGGCAAAGAAAGCCTAAGAACCACTGGGCTAGAGGCCCTTTCTTCCTGTGGAAAAACTCAGTTCTTAGCATTTGAAGACAGAGGTGACTGACTAGTGATATAAGGAGTCAGAAAGGCACCCAGTCCCCCATTTCATACTAAGAACCAGCCTTTCTATATTGTCTGGTAGTCAGATTGTTAAAGTTCCTTATTTTGTTTAAGGGAGCAATTTTCAAAGTATGTTCACACCCTAAAGATATTAATAGAATTGCCAGGGCCCAAGGGTTGGTTAAGTTTGAGACAAATTTGGTGAAACAGTGTTAAATTCTCTTACTCAATTCTCACAGCCCTATAATTGTGCTTGTTATTTTTCTCAGAAAGGGATTTAGCATTTAACTCTTCAAGGATTTTTATGTTTTTGGGGGGCATACTTTAGGAATAGCTGGCTTAAGGCAGCACCTCAAAGAGGACTACATTTTTGAGGGGATTTCAGAAAGTCCCCACCAAACTAATTTAAATCAATAAGGAACTAGTTATGCTCACACAACAAGAATGTTTGGTATAGATTGCCCAGGCTTGTATAGTACCTAACTGATATCCCCGAACCAGGCTTCTTCTGTGTTCTTGTCTTGGCATCCATAGTTTATGTTACTCACCTCATGGCTCCAGGGTGGCTGCAGTGCCACCAGACATCATATCTATATTCTGGGTAAGAAGAATGAGGAAAGGCAAAATGCAAAGGGACTTTCCCTTAGTAAGTCTTTGTCTTCTTAACCAGTAACTGAGATAAGTTCTGCTTACCTCATTGCCTAGGTGAGAAGATAAGGGTTTTAGCCTTTTAGCTGCTATATAGTCACATGATGCTAATGATGAGGATACATTCTGAGAAATGCATTGTTTTTCTTTTTTGTATTTTTATTTTTGTATTTTGTATTTTGTATTTTTTTTTGAGAAATGCATTGTTAAGCAATTTTATAGCTGTAGGAATATCATAGAATGTACTTACATGAGCTGGGTGCAGTGGCTCATGCCTATAATCCCAGCACTTTGGGAGGCTGAGTTGGGTGGATTAACTGAGGTTGGGAGTTCAAGACCAGCCTGACCAACACAATGAAACCCCATCTCTAGTAAAAATACAAAACAATTAGCCGGGCATGGTGGCTCATGCTATAATCCCAGTTACTTGGGAGGCTTAGAGGAGAATCACTTGAACCTGGGAGGCTGGGAGTGCTATTGTACTCCAGCCTGGTCGACAAGAGCAAAACTCCGCCTCAGAAAAAATGTACTTACATGAATGTAGATGGTATAGCCTACTACACACCTAGGCTATATGGTGTACCCTATTATTCTTAGACTACAAACCTGTGCAGCATGTTACTGTTCTGACTACTATATGCAGTATACTATAGTATCCTATACTGTATACCATTTTGTGTATCTATTATATACAGTATAGTATACTATATGCAGCATATATAATATATGCAGAACTATATACTGTTCTGACTACTATATGCAGTATACTATATGCAGTACATATAGTATATTATACTATATACCATTATGTGTATCTACTATATGCAGTATAGTATACTATAGTATAAACACATAATGTTATTTGTGTATCTAAACATATCTGCAGCTGGGCATGGTGGCTCACGCCTAGAATCTCAGCACTTTGGGAGGCAGCAGAGGGAGAATTGCTTGAGCACAGGAGTTGAAGGCCTGTCTGGGCAACATAGTGAGACCCCATTGCTACAAAACATTTTTAAAAATTAGCCAGGCATGGTTACATGCACCTGTAGTATAGTCTCAGCTATTTCGGAGGCTGAAGTGAGAGGATGACTTAAGCATGGGAGGTGAGGCTGCAGTGAGCTACATTCACACTACAGCACTCCAGCTTGGGAAACAGAGTGATACCCTGTCTCAAAAAAAAACAAAAAAACAAAACAAAACAAACCCCAAAACAAATACATATATCTAAACATGGAAAAGGTACAGTAAAAATATGGTGGTGTAATCTTTTTAAAAATTTTTTTAACTTTTAGATTCAGGGGTACATATGCAGGTTAGTTATGTAGGTAAACTCTTGTTATGAGAGATTGATATATAGATTATTTCATCACCCAGGTACTAAGCCTATTACCCAGTAGTTCTTTTTTCTGCTTCTCTCCCTCCTCCCATCCTCCACCCTCTGGTAGGCCCTAGTGTCTTTTGTTCCCCTTTTTTTGTCCATGTGTTCTCATCAAAATACAGTGTTATAATCTCATGGCACCACCACTATATATGCAGCTGATCATTAACCAAATATTATGCAGTGCATGACAGTATTTGTGGGCATCAAAGGAAAAGGAGGATGGTGATAGCTTTATTTTTAATCTTAGTAGAAGAGTTCCTCCGATTCCCAAGGCCCTTGTCATTCCTGGCTCTTGATCTTGCAGGTGCTACGCATGATGGTCGGAGTAAATATCTCAGATGAGCAGCTGGGCAGCATCGCAGACAGGACCATTCAGGAGGCTGATCAGGATGGGGACAGTGCCATATCTTTCACAGAATTTGTTAAGGTTGGTCACTTATCTCTTTTTTTGTTTTGTTTTGTTTTGAGACAGTTTCGCTCTTGTTGCCCAGTCTGGAGTGCAATGGTTCGATCTCGGCTCACTGCATCCTCCACCTCCCAGGTTCAAGGGAGTCTCCTGTCTCAGCGTCCTGAGTACCTGGGATTACAGACATGCACCACCACACCTGGCTAATTTTTGTATTTTTAGTAGAGATGGGGTTTCACCATGTTGGTCAGGCTGGTCTCAAACTCCTGACCTCGTGATCTGGCTGCCTCAGCCTCCCAAAGTGCTGGGATTACAGGTGTGAGCCACCGTGGCCTGCCACTTCTTTGTTTAAAAAGTTAAATTTTGGCTGGGCGTGGTGGCTCACGCCTGTAATCCTAGCACTTTGGGAGGCCGAGGTGGGTGGATCACCTGAGGTTAGGAGTTCAAGGCCAGCCTGGCCATCAGGGTGAAACCCCATCTTTATTTTTTATAAATTAAAAAAAAAAAGAAAGAAAAAGAAAAAGTTAAATTCCACTGAACAGGAGGGAGAAGGGAAAACATAACTCAGATAAGAGCTTGGGAGTGTTGTGACCTTTATAACCTTCATAACTGTCACTGGTTTTTTCCCACAGGTTTTGGAGAAGGTGGATGTAGAACAGAAAATGAGCATCCGATTTCTTCACTAAAGGACGGAGACCAAACTGTTCCTTGAGGTCTAGTATTTCTTAAGAACTGGAACTTGAAAGTCCTTCTTCCACCAACCCCACCTCTTCCCCCATCATTCCCTTTCTCCCTAAGTACTACTGCTGTTGCATGACAACCCTGAATATGTTCTGTCAACACAAATCTGCCTTTGATGTTTAAACAGGGCATTACAGAATGGTACACCAGTCTATTTCTGTTCGGTATTATTCACTTGTTCTTCATTTATAAATATCATCTTCCCCATTCTGCTGCTGAATGCCACACATCCATCCAGTCTGAGAAAGTGAGAGAGGGACTCATGCCAAGAACAAGCCAGCAAAGCTCTTTCACTGGATGTAGACTGTAGCCCTGCTGCCTTCCCTCCAGCGAGCCTGCCAGCATGCTTCTTTATCCTTTTTATATGGCCTTTGCTTCCTACTTCTGTGTCATCCAACATACTGTTCAGTTAGTCTGGCAGTCTTTCTGCTTTTCATTAAGCCTCGAAATCTCCTCTGTTTTACTTGGCACCACAAGATGTGCCCTATATATGTATTTCTGACTTGGCAGGATAGTTCAGGGGTCTGGCAGTTTTTATTTACCTTCATTATTAAATGGACCTCTGGGATGTTGCCTTTCCAGGAGTTTTTAGTAACCAACACTTCTCTCAGAAGTATAAGATCATCCTCTGCACTCTGCTCTGTCATCAAAGGGCTGCTGGGCGGAGATACCCCTTCTTGAAAGGTGGCCTTGGTGAGAGGTGTGGAGTCAAGTCTTCTAGGTTGCTTGCCCACATCACTCTACCTCTGGCCTCTGATTTTCAACTTTGTACCTCTGTGGCTCCTCTTGTTAATGCAGTGTTGACTGATCAAAAAATAGCAACACGCCTACAGGTTTGCTTAGTTTGGGGACACCGTTACCATCAGAATGGCTGCTCTGACAGTATGCCTGGGAACTTTCTGATAGCTTTTTTTAACAAGGAGGCTGGGCACCCTATACAGCCTCATGCATTCACACCTTTGCAGCATGGTTTGTGCCTCAGTGTTACGTGCACTGGAATGTTTTTCATTTCACATTTCCAAGTAGAAAGATTAGTGTTATGAGCCAGGCACGGTGGCTCACGCCTGTAATCCCAACACTTTGGGAGGCCAAGGAGGGCATTTCACAGGTCAGGAGTTCAAGACCAGCCTGGCCAACATCGTGAAACTCCATCTCTACTAAAAATATAAAATTAGCCGGGCGTGGTGGCAGGCGCCTGTAATCCAAGCTACTCGGGAGGCTGAGGCAGGAGAATCACTTGAACTTGGGAGGTGGAGGTTGCAGTGAGCTGAGACCACGCCATTGCACAATAGCCTGGGTGACAAAGCAAGACTCCGTCTCAAAAAATAAAAATAAAAAAAGAATGATTAGTGTTACGGAAGTGCCTAAGTTATCCTAGTCCAAAATATTTAAAGATTGTTTCCTCAGTGTCTTGAGGTTTTGCACAAAAATTTTTTTTTTTTTTTAAGACAGAGTCACACTCTATCGCTTAGGCTGGAGTGCAATGGCACCATCTCGGCTTACTGCACCCTCTGCCTCCTGGTTCCAGCAGTTCTCCCACCTCAGCCTCCCAAGTAGCTGGGATTACAGATGTGCACCACCACACCCAGCTAATTTTTGTATTTTTAGTAGAGAGGGGATTTCACCATGTTGGCCACGTTGGTCTTGAACTCCTGATCTCAGGTGATCCTCCTGCCTCAGCTTCCCAAAGTGCTGTACAGGCATGCGCCACCACACTCAGCCACAAAATTCTTTATGAATTTTACACTTGGCAGATATTAATGATGAAAGCCATAGTCAGCTCCTAATACAAGTCCAAAGAATTGACTATTGTATCATTAGCTGCCTGGTAACATTAGCTTCCTAGCTCCTTGTAAAGACCACACTAATCCCTTAAAAACAAGAGGTCTGGCAGTGGTAGCACAACCTAAGGTAGCATTACAGGTCTTTGAGCAAGCCACAGCAACTTTTCTGCCAAAGTCAGCTTAGTTTAGACTTCAATGATTCAGGCTATTGCCATCCTAATGTATGTGTCTATGAGTCTGTTTATCCACACATCTGCCGTTGGCTGACTCTGACTCATTGCTTGCTTGCTTCTTTCCTTGCTTTGGAAAACTATTGAAGATGTGTACAGAAGTCTTTAGGAAGGGGATTGCTAAAAAATACTACTGCAAAGTGATGGAAAAGGGTGGAGAACAGGGAAGTAGCCAGGCTGGATGGCTCAAAATATAAATTAATGAAGAATTCTTTATGAAGTATTAGTCAGACTGTGATCAAGTGATGCAATATAGGAATTATGTAAAAGGGAAGAATGTCCAATACTGACCTATTAGAGAGGTACTTCACAGGCTCCTTGATTTGCATATCTAAAGTTCCTAAGGTTATAGCTTTTCCCCCCTTTTGGCTGTGCAGTAAACTTTTAATCCACAGTTGTGCCTTATTGTTCCATTAAAATTGTATCTTCGATCCATCAATAAATACTTGTGGTTGAAACAAAATAACCTGGTTGATTTTGTCTATTTTACAAGAATTTTATGTAACTTAGTCCCTTCTTCAAGTTTGAAATCACAATGTCTCTCTTACTCAAGTTTGTCTGTACTGTCAGCTGCAGTCTACTTTGCTGCCTGGACATATGAAGTGAAAACATTCTTCTACAGGCCAGCACTCTCAGCCTTTAGACACGGTTTTGTCAGCCATGGCCACTTCCCATTCATTCCAGGTAAGATGCAATTTCTGTTGACTCCCTGATTCTTTAAAGATAGAAAAAGCCGGCCGGGCGCGGTGGCTCACGCCTGTAATCCAGCACTTTGGGAGGCCGAGGCGGGTGGATCACAAGGTCAACAGATCGAGACCATCCTGGTCAACATGGTGAAACCCCGTCTCTACTAAAAATACAAAAAATTAGCTGGGCATGGTGGCGCGTGCCTGTAATCCCAGCTACTCAGGAGGCTGAGGCAGGAGAATTGCCTGAACCCAGGAGGCAGAGGTTGCGGTGAGCCGAGATCGCGCCATTGCACTCCAGCCTGGGTAACGAGTAAAACTCTGTCTCAAAAAAAATTAAAAAAATAAAGATAGAAAAAGCCTAAAAATGCAGTATCTGTCTATTCCTTGTTATTCAGTTGCCCACCTCTTCCTTCATGTGCAGCCTCAGTGGTGATATACTTTGCTTTTACATGGCTTTTCACATTTTCATTTCTTTTTTGAGACTGTCTCACTTTGTTGCCCAAGCTGGAGGGCAGTGGTGTGATCTCAACTCATTGGAACCTCCACCTCCCAGGTTCAAGGGATTCTCCTGCCTCAGCCTCCCAAGATGATGGGATTACAGGTGTGTGCCACCACACCCAGCTAATTTTTAGTTTTGTTTTGTTTTCTTTGAGAAAGAGTCTCACTTTGTTGCCCAGGCTCGAGTGCAATGGCATGGTCTTGACTCAGTGCAACCTCTGCCTCTTGGTTCAAGCCATTCTCCTGTCTCAGCCTCCCACGTAGCTGGGATTACAGGTACCCACCACCATGCTCGGCTAATTCTTGTAGTTTTAGTAGAGATGGGGTTTTACTGTGTTGGCCAGGTTGGTCTTGAACTCCTGACCTCAGGCAACATGCCCGCCTCAGCCTCCCAAAGTGCTGGGATTACAGGCGTGCACCACTGCATCTGGCCATGGCCTATTGTTTCTAATTTTATCTGTTATAAAATATTGATGTAATGAATCTCTGCATAAAACTTTTTACTTTGAAAAATTTTACAAGGGTGGAATTACTAGGTCAAAGTTCAAGCATATACTTACATTGTTTGCTACATTTATTATGCTCCTTTATCTTTGGTGTTCTATTTAGGACATCTTTATCGTCACTTGTTTTTCCAAATTGATTTTAGAATCATTTTGTCAGTTGCATTTAAAATGTTATTAGGCTCACGCTTCTAATCCCAGCACTTATGGTGGCTGAGGTGGACAGATCACTTGAGGCCAGGAGTTCAAGACCAGCTTACCCAACATGGCGAAACCCCTTGTCTACCATAAATGCAAAAATTAGCTGGGTGTCGTGGTTGGCGCCTGTAATCCCAGCTGCTCCAGAGGCTGAGACAGGAGAATCGCCTGAACCCGGGAGGTAGGGGTTGCAGTGAGCCGAGACTGTGCCACTGTATTCCAGCCTAGGCAACAAAGCAAGACTCTATCTCCAAACACACACACACATTATTAGAATAGATTGTGTTAATTGGGATTTGGAACAATTATTACTGCAGAGATGCCTTAAAAGAGGACTACCTTGCTCTTTCATTGGGGCCGCCAACATACCATCCAGACTGAGGAAGACCCAGAAACTTCAGGGCTACGTTTGCCATGGCTGCATCTGTAAGCACTGGAAGCACCCCAGAGGCTGTGGTAAATGCTGGTGATCTGCATCACCACAGGACCAGCTTCAACAAATACCGCCCAGGTTCCTTTGGTAAAGTTGGTATGAGGCATTACTTCTTGACGGAGGAACCAGACTTCTGCCCAGCTGTCAACCCTGACAAATTTTGGACTTTGGTCAGGTAGCAGACACGGGTGAATGCTGCTAAAAACAAGACTGGGGCTGCTCCCATCACTGATGTGGTGCGATCTGGCTACACAAAGTTCTTGGAAAGGGAAAGCTCACAAAGCAGCTTGTCATCTGAAGGCTAAATTCTTGAATAGAAGAGCTGAGAAGATTAAGGGTGTGGGGTAGAGGGGACGGTGTCCTGAGGGCGTGAGGCCGCATGGAGGGAGACGGATTTTCTTATACTACAAACTAGGTGTGGTCACCTACGCCTGGCCAGGAATCTATATTGCTACCAATCGACCAGGTGACAGCCCTCTTGGTGTCCGGGAAGCACGGAGGACCTACACCGCCTACGCCAGGCCCCGCTTGTCATAACCCCGATGAAGAGCCACCCCATATACATACCCTCCCTGCCCCTCTTGGAAACGTTGCAGAAGAAAGGATGTCCTACAGTTGGGTGTAGCAAACAACAAAATTCCCAGTCATAACAGGTTACCTCTTTGTAGAAGGGCTCTCAGAAAAGTGACGCGTCCTTCTCTCCTGTATTGATCAAAGCTGTAAACAGCAGGACATTTGGGCCCTTTAAGAGTCTAAATGAGTCCCACTCAGAGATAAACTGAAACCATTAAATGTTTTGCCTAGTTGTTGTGCTATCCCAGAATTAAAAGCTGTGGGGTTGGGCGCGGCGGCTCACGCCTGTAATCCCGGCACTTATCACCTGAGGTCAGGACTCCTGACCACAATGGTGAAACCCCGTCTCTAATAAAAATACAAAAATTAGCCAGACATGATGACCTGTGCCTGTAATCCAGCTACTCGGGAGGCTGAGTCAGGAGAATCATTTAAACCCGGGAGGCGTAGGTTGCAGTGAGTCAAGATAACGCCACTGCACTCCACCCTGTGCCACAGAGCAAGACTGTCTCAAAAAAAAAAAAAAAAAAAAGCCCTCGGGCCTGAAAAATTATTAGTCCTACAGTTTAACCTAACAGTGGATTAAAATAGTCACGTGGCCTGGCCACACTATCTTACCAAGTGGCACAGCTTTTACGCGGAAATTTTACAGTCTTAATAGATGAATTGCAAAAGCATTTTTCCCTGTTACATCAATTCCGGGACCCAATCCGACAGAAAAGGGATGGAAGGAGTGTGGCGAGTGCTATTGATTGACGTGCATTCGAACCAACCTACAACGCATGAAGAACGCGCGTGCGTGTGTGAGCAAGCCCGTGTCCAATCACTACTCAACGGCAGTGGCGGGGGTGGGGCTTGTGGAAACGGCCCGCCGCAGGGTTGGCAGTCTTGAGAAGCAGCGAATATGGCGGAGTGAGGCGTTCCCCTGTGAACTGGCCTCTGGGCCGGGGGCAGGCCAGTCCGGCCAGCCCCCGGGAGGCCGAGTGCATCTGTTGGACCGTGCGAGGTGAGCCGAGAAGGCCAGTGACCTGGGGGGACAAGCAGGTGGCGAGGAGGTGGCGTGGCCTAGCCGTATGCCGGGGAAGGAAGCTCCCAGGAACCTGCGAGCTGCGGGCAGCCGGCCTCAGCCTTGGCCAGGCGGGAGTTCCAACCTCAGGGGCCCCAGGGCGGCACCCGCCTTTTGGGTGTGTCGCACGGCCCACACTCTCCTCAGCCCGCCTGGGTCCTTCCCAGTGCCGTGCCTTTAGCCGCTTTTGTGTTTCCTGCTTGCACCCACGCGGGACTATACCTGGCAGTCGCTGCATCCACCATCGATTTATTTTTCAAAGAATATCTTTGTTTTATTAATTTACTTACACTCCTCGCCTCGAGATTTCGTGCCCCCTCTTTTGCCCCTGGCTGCGGTATCATTTGAGGCCTGTTGTAGCGCTGAGTATTTTGTGTCCCTAGCTCGTTGACCTTGAGACTTGTAAGCGGTTACCCTTGGGAATTGCATTCGAGTGTGTGTATCGCGGACATCCTCGTGCAACTTTTACTAAATCCATTCGCTCCCAGTCCCACCTCCCAAACTTTTACGATCTGAGTAAGCAGTTCTGGCACTGATGTCCTGACAACATTCTAATGGCGCATTAATTCCGCTGACGCCAGGCTCTTTACCGTTTTGGTTTCTGTGTACACTATTGTTCTTACCGAGACAGAATGAAAATCGTGTGGGGAAATGTTATTAGAACGTACTTTGTGTAAAGTGTGGGGAAGCACAGTGTCAACACTGTGAGGCATTTGGTATTTGGTTCTCCTTTGACTTCACGGGGTGTCTCTTTTTGTAATTTGGATTGTTGTAACCCCTTATCTGGTCTCTCAGTTAAATTCTAGGAAAGTTCCTGTTTAAAACTGGGCACATTAGTTCAGTTCCGTTCCGATGGACACACCATTAGACAAATGAATTTTTTGGATATGCTCCTTGTTGGCCCTGGATTTACTGGAGTCGAAAATAACAAATAAAGGAGGATTTCTGTATGAGATCTTTTTTGTCGCTTTTGTCAGTTTATTTTTTGTGGGTTTTTTTTTTTGTCTCATCCAGGAGAAGAAAAAAAGAGATCGGCCAGAGGAAAGGAACCGAACATTCTTCCTTGCCTGCCTTACCAAGGGGAGTGGTCACCTACACTAAAGCAAAGGTCTAAATAGAGGTCTATAAACTACTGGAAATTTTATGCACAATTACAAATTTTTGTGGGAAGAAGAAGGTCCATAGCTTCAGATTCTCGAAAAGGACGGTGTTCCAGTAAAACTTGAGAATCAGTGCTTCAAGACTTGACATCTTTTTAAAAATAATGCCAATGCAGGTAGAGAGTAACTGCTTTCTTATTGTTCCTTTAGAATAGTTTATGATATTAGTTATTTTATTTTGAGACGGAGTTTCGCTGGTTACCCAGGCTGGAGTGCAATGGCGTGATCTCAGCTCACCGCAACCTCCGCCTCCTGGGTTCAGGGCATTTCTCCTGCCTCAGCCTCCTGAGTAGCTGGGATTACAGGCATGTGCCACCATGCCCAGCTAATTTTTTGTATTTTTAGTAGAGGCAGGGTTTCACCATGTTGACCAGGATGGTCTGGATCTCTTGACCTCGTGCTCCATCCGCCTCAGCCTCACAAAGTGCTGGGATTACAAGCGTGAGCGACTTCTCGCGGCCCCAGTTTTTTTTTTTTTAACAATAGCTTGTTTAATTTTGTATACTAAAATTAGTAGCAACAGTGAGGGCTATATGCTTAACGTTCTTTTTCTTTTCAGATTCCTTATCACAGGAAGAACATTTTCCTTGACATTTGGGTGCTTTTATATTCATCTTAAGAACAAAATTCTGAACTCAGGACTTGGCAAGTAAGTAATTGTAGGCTAATCATTCCAAATACTGTTTAAGCAGCTTGAAAACAGGTACACAGAAGTGGAATGATAAGCCCTGAGCTTGAGCAGAATATGAACATGAAAAATGACTGTAAACTGTCGAAATTTAAGTTCAATCTTTTATTTTTCAACAGCAGAAATGTATTAAGTAAAAAGGAATAGTCTTGATTATTAGTCCAAACTACCAGCAATTTTTACTGTCTAAAGAAAAAAGACTCGTATTTAATTAGATTGAAGGAAATTAAATGATAAAAAATAAGCCGGGCATGGTGGCTGACACCTGTAATCCCAGCATTTGGGGAGGCCGAGGTGGGCAGATCACCTGAGGTCAGGAGTTTGAGACCAGCCTGGCCAACATGGGGAAACCTCATCTCTACTAAAAATACAAAAATTAAGCAGGTCTGGTGGCCCATGCCTAAACCCTAGCTACTTGGAAGGCTGAGGCAGGAAAATTGCTTGAACCCGGGAGGCAGAGGTTGCAGTGAGCCAAGATCATGACACTGCACTGCAGCCTGGGCAACAGAGAGAGACTCTATCTTGCAAAAATATCAATTAAAAAAAATAAATGTAGGCGGGGCATGGTGGCTCACACCTGTAATCTCAACACTTTGGGAAGATGAGTGGGTGGATCACTTGAGGTCAGGAGTACAAGACCAGCCTGGCCAACATGGTGAAACCCCGTCTCTACTAAAAAAATACAAAAATTGCCCTGCACGGTGGCTCAAGCCTGTAATCCCAGCACTTTGGGAGGCTGAGGCAGGTGGATATCCAGGTCAAGAGACCAAGACCATCCTGGTCAACATGGTGAAACCCCGTCTCTACTAAAAATACAAAAATTAGCTGGGCATGATGGTGTGTGCCTGTAATCCCAGCTACTCAGGAGGCTGAGGCAGGAGAATTGCCTGAACTCAGGAGGCGGAGGTTGCGGTGAGCTGAGATCGCGCCATTGCACTCTAGCCTGGGTAACAAGAGCGAAACTCTGTCTCAAAAAAAAAAAAAACAAAAAAACAAAAAATTAGCCAGGTGTGATAACTGGCACTGTAATCCCAGTTACTTGGGAGGCTGAGACAGGAGAATTACTTGAACCCGGGAGGCGGAGGTTGCAATCATTCAAGATCATGCCACTGCACTGAAGCCTGGGTGACAGAGTAAGACTCCGTCTCAAAAAAAAATAAAAAAATAAAACCACCTATTACTAGATGGTTTTATTTAAATAAATTTTGTGTATGTTTCATGATGTTATGGGATACATACAGATAGTAAAAAGGTTTCTACAGTGAAGTAAATTAGCATCCATTATGTCACATAGTTTTTTTCTTTTTGAGATGGAGTCTTGCTCTGTCGCCCAGGCTGGAGTATAGTGGTGCAATCTTGGCTCACTGCAACCTCCGCCTCCCAGGTTCAAGTGATTCTCCTGCCTCAGCCTCCCAAATAGCTGGGATTACAGGCGCGCCACCATGCCTGGCTAATTTTTTGTATTTTTAGTAGAGATATGGTTTCACTATGTTGGTCAGGCTGGTCTCGAACTCCTGACCTCGTGATCCACCTGCCTCTGCCTCCCAAAGTGCTGGGATTACAAGTGTGAGCCATTGCCCCCGGCCTATTCTTTTGTTTTGTTTTTGTGGCAACAGCTGAAATCTCACTTAGCAGGAATCCTGTTTACAGTACAATTTTGTTACCTATAGTTGTCATATTGTACATTAGATCATTAGACTTGTTCATCCTTCATAACTGTTCCTTTTTGTCCTCTGACCTGTATCTCTTCATTTTCTAACTCCTTCATCAATTTTTGTTCTCTATCTCTGTATATATATATATATTTTTAAATTGCACATGTAAATGAGATAGTGCAATATTTTTCTTTTTTTTCCCCTCCCCTTTCCCTGTGCAGTATTTTTCTCTCTGTCCTCCTGACTCATCTGTGTTGTGACAAATGGCAAAATCTTTTTTTTTTAGATAGTCTTGCTCTGTCACCCAGACTGGAGTGCAGTGGCACCATCTCGGCTCACTGCAACCTCTGCCTCTTTAGTTCAAGCGATTCTTGTGCCACAGCCTCCCGAGTAGCCAGGATTACAGGTATGTGTCACCTCACCTAGCTAATTTTTGTATTTTTTTAGTAGAGATAGGGTTTCACCTGTTGGCCAGGCTGGTCTCCTCACCTCACCCCAAAGTGCTGGGATTACAGGTGTAAGCCACTGCGCCTGCCAAGATCTTTCTTTTTTAGGGCTAAGTAACATATTCCATCATATATACACATTATAGTTTCTACAGTTTATTCATTCATCCATTGATAGGCGTTAGGTTTTTTCTATATCTTGGCTATTGTGAATAATGTTCCATTGAACATAGGAGTGCAGACATCTTTATGAGGTGGTGATTTCATATCCTTTGGTTATATGCCCAGAAGAGGGAGTGATCGGTTATATGGTGGTTCTATTTTTAATTTCTTTAGAAACTTCCATACTGTTTTCCATAGTGACTGTTCCAATCTACACTCCATGCCATGAACAGTGAACAATAGTTAATTTTTTTCTACAACTGGGAAAATTTTAGTCACTATTATATTTATTTAAATTTTAATTATAGGGAAATATTGATATTTTCATCTTTAATTTCTTTTTTTTCTTCTTTTTTGGGACAGAGTTTTGCTCTTTTACCCAGAGTGCAGTGCCAGGATCTCGGCTCACTGCAACCTCCACCTCCCAGGTTCAAGCGATTCTCAGCCTCTTGAATAGCTGGGATTACAGACTCCCACCACACCTGGCTAATTTTTGTATTTTTAGTAGAAACGGGGTTTTATCACCTTGGTCTCGAACTCCTAACCTCATGATCTGCCCACCTTGGCCTCTCAAAGTGCTGGGATTATAGGCATGAACCACCACACCCGCCCCCCCCCCTTTTGTGTGTGTGTGTGTGTTTTTTTTTTTTTTAAAGAGATGGGGTCTTGCTGTGTTGCCCAGGCTGATCTTGAACTCCTGGGCTCAAGCAGTTCTCCCACCTCGGCCTCCCAAAGTGAGATTATAGGCATGAGCCACCATGCTTGACCTTTATCTTTGATTTCTAAAACCTTAGGTACGCTTTTAATAATTCTTGGTATATGGCTATTTGGTGCCAAGGGTTGTTGATACCTTATGAATTTACCACAAAAATAAACTAGGTTCTGTTACTCAAAAAGCAAGAGAGGATATGTCCTTTCTTAACTGACAATAACATTATATCTGCAAAATTGGCTTCATACCTACTGTGGTAGTTTTAGTTTCCTAGGCCTGCTGTAACAAAGCACCACAAACTAGGTAGCTTAGAATAATAGAAATTATTTCATAGGTTTTTTTTTTTATTTTTATTTTTAAGAGACGGAGTTTCGCTCTTGTTACCCAGGCTAGAGTGGAATGGCGCGATCTCGGCTCACCGCAACCTCTGCCTCCTGGGTTCAGGCAATTCTCCTGCCCCAGCCTCCTGAGTAGCTGGGATTACAGGCACGTGCCACCATGCCCAGCTAATTTTTTGTATTTTTAGTAGAGACGGGGTTTCACCATATTGACCAGGATGGTCTCGATCTCTTGACCTCGTGATCCACCCACCTCGGCCTCCCAAAGTGCTGGGATTACAGGCGTGAGCCACCGTGCCCAGCTTTTTTTGCATTTTTAATAGAGACAGTGTTTCACCATATTGGCCAGGCTGGTCTCAAACTCTGGACCTCAGGCGATCTGCCTGCCTCAGCCTTCCAAACTGCTGGGATTACAGGCATGAGCTACTGCCCCCAGCTTTGATTTAGTTTTTACATGTTTGCAGTTGGTGATAATGGAATAGCATATATTTTACTTAGTTTTATTTTATAAAATACCATCTATTGGTGGTAGTTGAAGGTGATTCAGAGTAAGATTCATATGGTTTTGAGTATTAGGTATTTAAACATCAAATTTGGAGTACAGTGCTACTTTATTATTGTTTCTTTTTTCTTTTGATAAGAGCTGCAAGCAAAGATATAGTGCTACCTTGTTTTTTATTTTTGGAGACAGTCTTACTCTGCTGCCCCAGGCTTAGTGCAGTGGTGCAGTCATGGCTCAAGCTATGCTTCAGCTTCAGCCTCCAAGTAGCAAGAACCACAAGAGGGCGCCACCACACTCAGCTAATTTTTTATTTTTTGTAGAGTGGGGTCTTGCTGTGTTGCCCAGGCTGGTCTCCAATTCCTAGGCTCAAGGGATCCTCCTGCTTCAGCCTCCCAAAGTGCTGGGATTACAGGTGTGAGCACCACACCTGGCTTAGTGCTACTTTTAAACACAAATGTGGCCAGACACAGTGGCTTATGTCTGTAATCCCAGTACTTTGGGAGGCTGAGGTGGGTGAATCACTTGAGCTCAGGAGTTTCAAAGCAGCCTGGCCAATATGGTGAAACCCTCTTTCTACTAGAAATACAAAAATTAGTTGGGTGTGATGGTGCATGCCTGTAATCCTAGCTACTCAGGAGGCTAAAGCATGAGACTCGCTTGTACCCAGAGGGTGGAGGTTGTAGTGAGTTGAGGTAACTCCACTGTACTCCAGCCTGGGTGACACAGCAAGACTGTCTCAAAAAATAATAATGTTTTATATGTAAATAAGCTTTTTTTCTATCATGCTTGTATAAATCCAGCTTTATTTTGGTATCATACTTGTATTTATTTTTCTGGCTGTTACTGCCTTTCTGATGACAGTACTGAATTTGGTGTTATGGCTAGATAATACATAATCCAAAATATTATTTTCTTTTCTTTTTTTTTTTGAGCCAAATTCTTTCTCTGTTGCCCAGGCTGGAGTACAGTGATGGAATCTTGGCTAACTGCAACCTCCACCTCCTGGGTTCAGGCGATTCTCCGAATCTCCTGCCTTGGCCTCCTGAGTAGCTGGAACTATAGGTGGCTGCCACATGCCTGGCTAATTTTTGTATTTTTAGTAGAGACGGGGTTTCACTATGTTGGCCACTTTTTCTTTTTTTTTTTTAACTGGAGTCCCTCTTTGTCCAGGCTGGAGTGCAGTGGTGCCATCTCGGCTCACTGCATCCTCTGCCTACCAGGTTCAAGTAGTTCTGCCTCAGCCTCCCGAGTAGCTGGGATTACAGTCACACACCAGCCCACCTGGCTAATTTTTGTGTATTTGTTTTGTTTTTTATTTTGTTTTGAGATGGAGTCTTGCTGTGTAGCCCAGGCTGGAGTGCAGTGGCTCAATCTTGGCTCACTGCAGCCTCCGCCTCCCAAGTTAAAGTGATTCTTCTGCCTCAGCCTCCTGAGGAGCTGGGACTACAGGCGTGTACCACCACTCCCAGCTAATTTTTGTATTTTTAGTAGTGACAGGGTTTTACCATGTTGGCCAGGCTGGTTTCGATCTCCTGACCTTGTGATCCGTCCACCTCCGCCTTCCAAGGTGCTGGGATTACAGGCCTGAGTCACTGTGCTAAGCCTACACTTTCATGTTTTAGATATTGTTTTTGAATCAGCTCATACAGAAGTACCTGTACTAATCTTCCTGTTTTTATTTTGTATTTCTAGGTGTCTCTACGTTGTCTCCTGGAGTGTGTAGTTCTACTTCTTTTACCCAGTTACTTTCCCTACTCTTAAAATGTGGATGTCACTTCTCTATACCTTACCTCCATGATTTGGAATGAAAAAGTCCACCTTTTTTTTGTTCTGCCTCTCAGACTGAACACAGAGGAGCTCCTAGGATTCCAGTTATCTTGCCAACTTCACGAAGAAAGAAGCAACTCGCATAGGTTTTCTGCGGTTTGCTTAATTATAAAGACATCGTTTTGCAAGCTGAAGTCTGAGTTTCATCTGAAACAGGTGCTTAGGTGGTGGTATTTGTGAATACTTTTCGTTATGAACCAGAAGACTAAATAAATAGCAAGTATGGATGACTTCAGGGTTTAAAAACAAAAATGTCTTCCAGTTTCAGCCACTATCCTGATAAGCACAGTTGAGACTGCAGCAGTAAATTCCAAATATGCATTTCTAATTTGACATGAAAAATAGTAAAAAATTACATATATTTATTTATTTAAATCTTGGCTCATCCTGTGACATAGATTTACTGAATAAGAACAAAGGCGCAATTTTATACAAAAGCCGGGGCCAAGCACGGTGGCTTATGCCTGTAATCCCAGTACATTGGGAGGCAGAGGCAGGCGGATCACCTGAGGTTGGGAGTTCAAGACCAGCCTGACCAACATGGAGAAACCTCATCTTTACTAAAAATACAAAATTAGCCAGGCATGGTGGCGTATGCCTGTAATCCCAGCTACTCCGGAGGTTGAGGCAGGAGAATTGCTTGAACCTGGGAGGTGGATGGAGGTTGCAGTGAGCCGAGATTGTGCCACTGCACTCCAGCCTGGGCAACAGAGTGAGACTATCTCAAAAAAATGAAGAAAAAAAAACAACTTTGGACACAGAGGAGTCGGGGTGGGATGGGAGGTTGAGAGAATTTTTCATATAACTCCTTTTCCCTAAGAAAAGCAAAAATGCCTCATGCAGTGACATCTGACTTTATGGTGTTTCATATTATATATTCACTGTTTTCCTGCAACCCAAGGTGGATACTTGGATGTCATTTCTTTTATTTATTTATTTTATTTATTTATTTTTTTGAGGCAGTCTCACTCTTTTGCCGAGCCTAGAGCCAGTCTCTGCTGCCCAGATTCAAGTGATTCTCCTGCCTCAGCCTCCCAAGTAGCTGGGATTACAGGCGCCCACCACCATGTCCGGTCTGATTTCTTACTCAAGATACTAGGTGTAGTGTTAGGCTCAAAAGGCTGGGACTCAGGTACTTTTCCTGGTTGGGACTGAACTTTCTCATGAGAGAATGCATGGGCCTCAGAAGCAATGTTCCCAAACTTGTAATTGGATCATTGTAGATTCAGGATGTTGAAAAGATACCTTGAACAAGAAAAATAGTTACAATAAGAAATGGATTTTCTTTTTTTTTACCATAATAGTTATTCATTATAAAGAACAGACTCTCATAGAAAACTGTCCTTGCTTCCAAATCAGCTGAGAACCATTGTATGTACTGTCATGTCTTTACATAAGAGTGAAACCTTTATTTATGCTTCTTTGTGAGTAGAGAATAAATTTTAAAACTAATTAGTTCAAATTAAGGACAGATAGTATTGGAACATCTGTGTGTTTTCCAGAATGTTTACTCAGGGCCATGAATGCTGTGATGCTGGGACTTAGGGCAGAGTCACCAAAATTTGAGAGTGATAGAAATGGCCCAAAATGGGAAATTACTGAGATTGGTCAATCAACCCATTTGAAATGGGTAAAAAATACTTTTAGTGAAATAATTACACATTATATGTAAAATATAATTTCTTTTTTTGAGGGCAGCTACAAGTGATAAAGCGTAGTAGAAATAACTTTAGTTAAAAGTAACTCAGATTTTTCTCTAAGTAATCTACCTACTTCCTGATGTTCTTAATATTTTAGAATTGTTCAAGACAGTGGAGCCTACATGTTTGGGTTCTACTGATATGTTTAAAATGTCATATCATAGAGAATTTGTACCTTCCAGTTGTCTGTTACTTGTCTTCTCTGTGTACTTTGGCATCTTTTTGGGTAGGATCATTTGGCAGGGGGTAGAGTACCTGTACTTTTGACACCATTGAAAGCAGCTCTGGCCCACTTGTTTGGATAGATATCAGACTCGCGTCTCCATATGCTTTATATTTTTTCATTTCACAATTGAGAGAACCAGCATTTAATGCTTTTTGAAATTGTTTCTGTATCTACCATGGTTCAGACCAGGTGCATTTAACAAAATGGATATATTCCAGCTGTAGTTGCCCAGTGTTTACTTAACACATCTACATTTTTTTCTTGTCAATTTTTGTCCCCTTGATAGGAAAAGCTATAATTTAGGCGGGACTATGCGTTGATTTGCAGCCATGCTTCCTTCCTTTCCCTTGCTTATCCATGTTAGCTGGCAGTTTTTCTTTTGAAAAACGGGACATGTGCAATAGAAATATATATATATATGTATATTTTAATACTTGTGGACAAATGTTACAAGTTGTTTGAGAACAACAAAATCACCAATGTCTTCCATTTTGAGATGTGTATAGTTTTGTAAGCATTAGTGCTTGGTAGCATATTGTAGTGCCATGTTAGGGGTTAGTGCATGAGCCTAGTAATTTTAAAATTCAGGGGGAATTATTGATAATAACAAATAATGTAAAAAGAGTGGAAATCTGAACCTTTTCTTTTTTCATAATGTCTAAATCTGTTATATTTTCCCTGGGGAAAAGAGATTAAGGCCTAAAAGATTCATTTATGAATAGAAATATAGGGTCAAAATCTGAGATACTATGTTTGAGGACATTTCAGCTTTCCATAAGCAATCTGGAAACCAGCTGCCTTTATGTCTTACGAAACCTCAAGTCAAAATGAGACCCCATTTCATTATTCTACTTTGATTTTTTTTTTTTGAGACAGAGTCTCACTCTGGCCCAGGCTGGAGTGCAGTGGTACAATCTTGGCTAACTGCAACCTCCACCTCTTGAGTGGCTGGAACTACAGGCACGCGCCACCATACCCAGCTAATTTTTGTATTTTTAGTAGAGACGGGGTTTTGTCATGTTGGCCCCGCCCGTCTCAAACTCGTGACCTCAAGTGATTCGGCCTGCCTTGTCCTCCCAAAGTGCTGGGATTACAGGCATGAGCCACCACACCCGGCCTGCTCTTGAACTGTCTTTGCATGGCATGTATTTTAGGTTCATTATTTTCCTACTCCTTGTGTGTCAAGAAATTATATTTTGTATGTCTTATGGAGATGCTGTGTTAATTGCTTTAGTGAGTGCTTTTCTAATCTGCAGACCATTTACATTTCCTCTTTGTAGCATGCTCTGTGTAAACACTCAGTAATTTGGAGTATTCAGTTATTTGTTATGGGCTCTTCCTATTTCCAAATCTGCTGAATTGTCTATTGATGGGATTTCAGACTTTTTCATGAGAACTGGAAATGTAGCTGGGTGATGCTTACCTAGGTTGCTATGTAACAGGTAGACTCTTTTCCTTGGTTATAGTAAGCCTCAGACAGCTTTCACTTTTATCTACTTTACTTGTGGAAATAAAACTGTTGGTTTATTCTGAAAGCTATCTTCTGAAAGATAAGAATACGGTAACTTTCTGAAAGAATAAGATAGCTTTCTTAGGGAAGTAATTCCTACCTGTAAAAGCTGCCTTGAGAACTCAGAGTGGCAGTTTTCTGAGGTGATTTTTAAATTTCAGTATTAGGAAGCGTCCATCATTTGCTGACAGATTCTACATAACTATTGTATGATAACAAATGCAAAACTATTATAATGTGGTATATCTTGTGCATACAAAGGTTAGAACAAGTAGATTCTGGCAGCAGATCTCCAGAGACCCAAGTTTAGATTCTCATAGTGTATGCGAAGTAGTTATATTCTTGGCTTGAATAGTTTAGTGCCTGGGACAATCTATTACTGAAAAGCAATTATTAAAAAAAAAAAAACTGAAAAGGTAATGAATGCAGAATAGCACAGCATATAGGAAAGGATATTTCCTGTTGCAAAAAAAAAAAAAAAGCCATAAAATGAATAGTAAATTTCAAGAGATAGAATTGTAGTAGCAATAACAGTTTTTGCATGTATAGTAATTTGCATTAGCAAGGTTGTATGATAGAATATGTGATACTACTTGAGTTTGTGGGGCTCTGAAATCAACAGTTGCACAAAAGGAAAAAATGTTCTGGATAAAGAGCATATAAAAGGTACTTTTAGAACAGTATGAATGTATATGAATTTATCTTTGTGTGAGAAATGTCAGCTTTTGTGTAAGTTAAAGGTTAAAGACCCTATTTGTTTCCTAATTCAGAGGGTTAGAGCCGTTGAAATTAAACCTTTATAGTGCTTAACCTGAAAACAAATGTACTACAGCCCCACTGAAGCAGCTGTGTGGGTTTTTTCCTTAAGAGGTTTTAGCAACAGGCATTTATTCTGTAGAGTGGTATACTTTCTGCTTTGTCTCATCTTTCTCCATTGGTTTCCTGGGTACGTTTTTTAAAGGGAGAGAAGTTCCTGAGTTTAATGTTTAAAATAAAACTCCCACAAACATAGATAAGCTGGATTTCTCTCATGATTAGGGAATAAGGATTTAAAGATGAAAGGCAGAAGGATTGAAGGGAATAGCCATTGAATATTTGGGTGGGTAGGGTGTAAAACCTTTTCTAATGTGGATATGGCCTATGGCCTGTGACTGCTTATTTATCAAGGAGAACCCAGTAAACTAGTTTCTTGCTTGATCTGAGGAACCACACAGCTCGCATCAGGATATAATAGTGGAACTAGGGTGACTTCACTCCCTTTTACCTGATGTCTAATCCTGGCCTTTTAGCACTTTGACTATCCCTGAAAAGACTGGGTCTACATTTCCTTGTTTTCCCAGGGAAAAAACTGAAAGATAAGTGATGTAGATCTAGGAATAGTGCCTCTTAATTCTTACATGACAACTAATGCATAGGGAAAAGGCTATGTTGATTGTAGATCCACTTTAGTGTCTTAGAGACATTGGAATAACTAAGCAATATTCAGATATCTGCACATCTGGGGACAGTGTTATCTATTACAATGATGTCAACAGTTCAGTTACTTGGAACAATTAAAGATTACCCTTAACAGCCATGTTAATAATTCTAAATGCTAAAATACACTACAAGCTTTCAGTCTTGAAAGTTTGCTGTTATTTTAAAAAGTTGTTGTGGTCTCATGTTTACTCTTCGTGTATCTGTGATATGCAAAAAGAAGAGACTCTTGGCCTCCAGGTGTTTACATTCTCATGGTGCTGTTGGTGCAAGCAAATTGCTTCGTTTATTAATAAACTAATTGGCTATTGATTATATCCTATTTGGAAGAATCCCTTGGTGAACAGTTTTAAAAAGCAGAGAGCTGTGTTAAATTTCAGGGCATTGATGCTTGAGTTTACATTGTATTAGCCTTGCTCGTTATCATTTTTTCCCCAGGGAGCTATGCAGGTAATGCTCATTAGTGTGAATTAGAACAGAAAGCACCTGTGCTGTCCTGTTACAGTTGTCAGTAATGGCTAAGAAAATTTATAGCTCTTTAAGACTGTTTTTATATAATTCTCTACTCAGAAGGGCCAGGATTTGCATATAAGCCTTTTAAAACTGATTAGTGGTCCTAATTTTAACATTTTTGTGTACGACTCCTCTGTCTCTGTTCTGAAGCAGCATTGTGATAGAAGTGGAGCATCTACCTGCATTTCTAAGCAATTATTAACCCAACTTTTGAGTTGAAACTTGTTGTATGGATCCTTGTTATTTCCCATAATTCCTCTGAATCAAGGAGTTTATTTTGCATGCTTATTAAACTAAAACTGAGCCTGATTCAAAGTGCAAGCAATAGTGGCAGGCCCATAACTCTGCTTTTAGAGTATGAACATTCTAATGCATGACTGAAAATGTCCAGTGTTGTGGTTACTAGTAGTTTTATATATGCATTTATTAACAATGAAGCAATAGAGACTAAAACCAATAGCTTGAATTTATTCCGATTGTTTTCATTTTTTTTTTATAAAGGATTTTTCTTCCATTGAAAATGGGAAGATAAACAGGGGCAACCATAAGACATTCAGACTGTCAGGACTAGGGCATAACAGTGCCCACCCTCTAACCTCTTGCCTGGTTCCATTAGTCAGTCCCCAAGCATGTTTGAAAACAAAAGACACAAACTAAGCATGTTGAATAAATTAGCTGTTATGGCTATAATAATCAGAAAGGTGCAGAGTTTCACAAAGAGTAGGAATGTAGGGAATGCTAGTATGGAGTATGTAAAATAACTAGATGTGGATATGGAGTTCGTTTATGATATTTATAAACTAAAAATCCCAGATGTTTATACATGTTTATACATCTGGGATTTGAGTTGAATATAATCAGTGTGCGCAAGAAACAAAATACCCCTGACACCCTGCAACAAGGGAGACTTCCCTTTATCTGTGGTTTAGTTTCTGTTATTGTATTGCATACAGAATAGTTTAAACAAATTTTATAGCCAAAGTTCTAACCTTGATGGGTTTGGTCAGACTACAATTCCTTGATTTTTTTTTTTTTTTTTTTTTTGAGACGGAGTTTCGCTCTTGTTACCCAGACAGACTGGAGTGCAATGGCACAATCTCGACTCACTGCAACCTCCGCCTCCTAGGTTCAAGCAATTGTCCTGCCTTAGCCTCCCGAGTAGCTGAAACTACAGGCGTGCACCACCACGCCCAGTTAATTTTTGTATTTTTAGTAGAGACGGGGTTTCACCATGTTGACCAGGACGGTCTCAATCTCTTGACCTCGTGATGCACCCGCCTCAGACTCCCAAAGTGCTGGGATTATAGGCATGAGCCACTGTGCCCGGCTTACAATTCCTTGATTAAAGCTTTTGATGCCAGGTTAAACAGGAGAAACCTTTTCCACTTTAAAAGAAGAAAATCCTTGCCATTTATTTGACGAATAAACATATTTATTGCAGTAGCTTAAAATTTTTCTTTTCCTTTTATTTTTTTAAACAGTCTCACTCTGTTGCCCAGGCTGGAGTGCAGCAATGTGATCTCGGCTCACTGCAACCTCCACCTCCCTAGTAGCTGAGTTTACAGACTTGCACCACTACCCCCAGCTAATTTTTGTGTTTTTAGTAGAGACGGGGTTTCACCATGTTGGCCACGCTGGTCTCAAACTCCTGGCCTTATGTGATCTGCCCCCTCAGCCTCACAAAGCGCTGGTACTGCAGGTATGAGCCACTGCACCTGGCTTGTAGTAGCTTAAAATTTTCCTTGAGAAAATTCCTGACTTTGAAAATAACCCTTATATAAATACAAATGATATGACAAATAACATACAAATGGCATTCATGATGTCTGAAAGAAGCCTCAATAGAATTCAAGATAGACTAAATGATTTTCACTAGGCACATTCAAGGTTTTACATTCTGATTGAAATTTTTTTTTAAACATTTTTATTTCACATTCTTTCCTGTGTGATTTTGTTACAAATACCTTTGGGAATAAATAAAGTAGAATGATAACTTTTCAGTGCTTCAGAATTGAATGAGACTTCTTATCATTGCGATGTTTGGTTTCCATTCAAATATATTGAGATGTCATATCTGGAATATAGTTTCTCCTCCCCAATTGCTGACAGCATGTCTGTCAGCCATTAAAGATTAAGAACAGTTTCCCAAACTTCCTCTGATTATTCCACTAAAGCACATTAAAATACTTAGTTTTGGAAAACCAAACATCACAGATTTCTTGTGAACTCCTAAATCTTTGAAGTCAGAATAGATATCTGTTACTGACAGTTTTTAGGTTTTTTTTCTCCGTTGGTGATATGTCATTACATAATTGAAAAAATATTTTTCTCCTAGGGGTAAGAAAGGTATTCTGGCAATATATTATCATCAATCCTTAAACAGTAACAGTCTTGGCATTTTTCTTAAAACCACTAATTTCTTATAACCAGAAAGATTATCCTAGACTGTCCTTCACATTAGACTTTACTTACTGCCTTGTAGAATGAGTTGCTCACTGTGTTTACATGCTGTCCTGCATATTCCCTATTGCACCATTGGTGTATAATGTTAAAAAGAATTTCATTTAATATTATTCAAAGTATTACAAAAGGCAGCTTGATTTCAATCTATGCATCTTTGGGGTTTTTGAAGAAGAAATGTAATTCTTTGATGTAAAAAGGAACTGTTAAAAGCTGGAAACTCTGCACCTGTGTATATATATTTTTTAGCAATAAAGCAGCATGAGCTGAGAATGCACTGAAATCTATCTCATTGTGTGTCGTTACTTGAAAAAGGTAATTTTAAATAATGCAATATATGATGATGATGGGAGAAGGAGCCTTCCCAAAGGACCTGTGCTGAATGAAGTACTCTCCAGATGTCAAAGAACAAAGGACCAGGTTACTTGAGACCTAGTGTGGCAGTTTCTGGTGTAGGTTATACAATGGAACAGACAGCCATTCAAACTTGAATATGTAATGTTGTCCTTATAGCCATATGGAGTTTTGGAATACTTTTTTCAACATATATGTAATTGTCTTTATTTTGCATCTCTATGTGTGTATCCACGTACATGGTGTTTAATAATATTAATTGAGCACTGACTGCCAAGCACTGCGCTAATGACATTAGATGTATTAACTAACTCATTTAATTCTCACTACACCTCTAATTACTCTAGTTTTTATCCCTATTTTACATAGAAATTAAAACAGATTAACTGTTGCAGTTCATGGTTAGTAAGTACCCAAGCGACATTTTCAATCCAGTTTGGTTCCAGAGCCTGCTCACTTACCAGCATATGCTATATTGTGCCTCTCAAAAACCAGAAATGTCCTTTCACTTTGTATTTTGTCACACGTCTGTCTTTTTTCTAGACTGAGCATGTAATTTGAAAAAACAATCTATTTAAAGCTAGCCAGTTTAATTGATATAAGGAACAAGCATTTAATTTTCTATTGAAAGTCATAACGAGCTGGGCGCGGTGGCTCCACCTGAAATCCCAGCACTTTGGGAGGCCCAGGCGGATGGATCACGAGGTCGAGATCGAGACCATCCTGGCCAATATGTTGAAACCCGATCTGTACTAAAAGTACAAAAAACTAGCCGGGCATAGTGGTACGTGCCCGTTGTCCCGGCTACTCGGGAGGCTGAGGCAGGAGAATTGCTTGAAACTGGAAAACGGAAGTTGCAGTGAGCCGGCATCGCTTCACTGCACTCCAGCTTGGCAACAGAGTGAGCCTCTGACTCAAAAAAAAAAAAAAAAGTCATAACCAAAACGGCAAATCCAGAGTTGACAAATGCCCATTTATTTATTTAGAGATGGAGTCTCGCTGTTGTTGCCCAGGCTGGAGTGCAGTGGCATGATCTCCACTCACTGCAACCTCTGCCTCCCAGGTTCAAGTGATTCTCCTGCCTCAGCCTCCCAAGTAGCTGGGATTACAGGTATGTGCCACCATGCCTTGCTAATTTTTGTATTTTTATGAGAGATGGTGTTTCACCATCATGACCAGGCTGGTCTCAAACTCCTGACCACAGGTGATCAGCTTGCCTTGCCCTCCCAAAGTACTAGGATTACAAGTGTGAGCCACCACGCCTGGCCTATTAAATTAATCTTTTGATTAGCTACTCAAAGTGCTACATAAAGCAAAACTAGAGAAAATAGTACTTTAGTGAATGTTTGATGTTTTATCATTCCTTTCATTATTGCTCTGTTAACCTCAGTTTACAATTGAGAAAGAGACAAATTGTATATTATTCAGGCAATTTATTAAACATTACCTATAGAATATCATGGTCTGTATTTTATATAAGTGTAAAATTTTACTAATAAAAAATGATTTATAGTATTCATAACTGCTTCATGCAAGAATACGAGTAGTCAACATTAAGCCCAACTCTATTTTCAGACCAACCATGCAACTGTAGATCAGAGGACACATGAGACTTTGCATCTTAATTCCTAAATTTACAGTCAAAGACGTTTTCAGAGGTATTATGAATTCATTAGGAATCTAAAGTAAGTTCTTAAGGCAAATAGCTATAAAACAGAAGAATCCTTAGTTTCTCATCTTCTGAAAACAGCTTCACAAGTCATTTGGAAAATCAGCCTAGAAGTAAATAGAAACTGCATTTCCCGCCCCCATTCTTGAAGCCAGTCTTTGTCAAGAAATGACGTCAGCAGCACCTGTTGTTGAAGACAGCAATAAAGCCTGAACCTGACACTCAAGCTTTGGTACAGATCAGTTTTCTGGCTTGGACTGGTCAGAAGTCACTTCACTCAGAATCTTCATTAGTGAATTTAAGCGAGTGTGCATTAGCACTATCTTCTCTTTCAGCTAGAAAAGAAATACATTGATATCAGGGCATCTTTAAAATTTTTATTTATTTTTTTAAGAGACAGGGTCTTACTCTGTTGCCCAAACTGGAGTAAAGTGACGTAATCATAGCTGACTGCAGCCTCAAGCTCCTGGGCTCAAGTGATCCTCCTACTTCAGCCTCCCAAGTAACTAGGACTACAATCATGTGTTTAAAATTTTTTTTTTGGTAGAGACAGGGTCTTGCTTTATTACCCAGGCTGGTACTCCTGCTCCCCAGTGATCCTCCTGCCTTGGCCTCCCAAAGTGCTGGAATTATAGGCAGGAGCCACCATACCCAGCCAGGTATCTGGGCATTTTAAGCTTAACATTCAGTTTACTGGTCATCAAAGCCATTTCAAATTTAAGCTAGTTTATATCTAGTAATTGGGAGCTGGCAATGTCTAAATGCATTTGAGGAACAGATTTCTTCTAATTCTGAAAGAACTCGATACAACAACCTAGTGTACAATAAGATCCTCAGATGTAAAGTTTCATGTGAAGAAAAAACCAATGCTGAACAGCACTGCTTCAGTTAAGACGAATACAGTGTGGTCAGAGAGTTGTGTGGAAAGAATTAGTCTTCCCCTCCTTTTCCAGTGGCAAGAATTTAGCTTTTCTTTTTTTTAGCTTTTCTTACTTTAATATTCTACTAATGGTGTGCAAAATTAACCCTGGTTATTAGGTTTAGAATGGATAATTGTTGCAATTAATTTTCAAGAGTTCTTGCACCTTAGAACAGCTATACTTAGAATGAAATTTAGTGGTGTTACTCAGCAGGGCAGGAGCAGTGGCTTCTGGTCATCTCCATTCACCCCTCCCAGCATGGGATTTCCACCCTACAAGCAAGCTGGGGGGCAAAGATAACTGGGTTCTCAACATTTTTGGCCTACTGTGCCTGTAGCAGAATATACTACAAAGGTCATTTCTACCTGCAATAGAGTTTCTGAAACACAGAGCTGGGGGTGGTGAGAAATGCTGGTGGCCTAACCCTCCTGGGGAGATACCACAGTCCATGAGTGGGAGCTAGGGGAAAAAAACACCCTGTGTCCTTCACTGCATCTGCCCTGATGGGGCCTCCCTCCCTCTAAGCTGGGATAGGAGAGTGGAAGGGAGGGAGAAAGTAGGTTGTGAGTCAAATGCTATAGGCTGCCACTGTTCTTACCAAAGTTTAGTAGATATTGGTAAATACATGAAAATATGGTGAACCCCCATCTCTACTAAAAACACAAAAATTACCCAGGCATGGTGCATGCCTATAATCCTAGCTACTTAGGAGGCTGAGGCAGAAGAATCGCATTAACCCAGGAGGTGGAGGTTGTAGTGAGCCAAGACTGTACCACTGCACTCAAGCCTGGGAGGAAGAGTGAGACTCTGTCTCATAAATAAATAAATGTATATATGTATGTATGTTTCTCTTTCTGCCATATGCCTTGAAAATTTCCACAAACTTAAGATGGTTGTTTCCTTTATAATATTCTACCTGGATCCTATCCATGGAACTCCTGATACTGCCATTCCAAAGTCATATCCCATACCAATTATTAGTATTACTTTTTGAGACAGAGTCTCACTCTGTCACCCAGGCTGGAGTGCAGTGGCATGATCTTGGCTCACTGCAATCTCTGCTTCCTAGGTTCAAGTGATTCTCCTGCCTCATCCCCCAGAGTAGCTGGGATTACAGGTGCCTGCCACTACGCCTAGCTAATTTTTGTGGTTTTAGTAGAGAGGGGGTTTTACCACCTTGGCCAGGCTGGTCTTGAACTCCTGACCTCGTGATCCACCCACCTCAGCCTCTCAAAGTGCTAGGATTACAGGCATGAGCCACTGTGCCCAGCCAGTAAGAATTCTTAATGACTGTTTTATCACTCTCTTCTGAGACAGTTGAGCAATTATAAGGTGTTTGTAAAGAAGACAGCTCTATGGCAAAATGATGATGTCCATTCTCAGCACAAGGAATACAGGAGTGCAGCACTTGGGCAGTTTTTCCTTTCTTCTTGAACTACCCCTTCCAGCATGGCTTTAGTATTTTGTTTTTTTGTTACAAATTCAATAGGGAATGTCAAACCAAGTACAAAGGACTATTGAGCATCACACCACTTCATCATCCCCAAGTTCGTTGGTACAAATTAAGAGTTGTCTATATTTTTAAAACCATACAACCATCATGAAATTTTACCTCTGCAATAGTTTCTGATAGAGGTACATTGTGAATATCCATCTCTGATGCATTTACTATGGCTTTTGTTTTTAAGAGATAGCTAGATAGGAAAAAAGACAAAATGTTAGTGTCATACCACAGTTAAGATTACAAATAAACCAAACTTGCCTTCTAAAGAAAATAATGTGTCAAACAAAGCCTGCCTTCTTACTGATTTTCATTTCAAGACTCATGTATCCATGGGTACAGTATCTATGGATTCAAACAATCATAGACTAGAAATATTTGGGAAAAAAAATGGATTGTGTCTGTACTGAACATGTACAGATTCTTTTTCTGGTCACCATTCCCTTAACAATGTAACAACTTTGTAAATTTGCTATGTAAATTTGTAATGTACATAGCATTTACATTATATTAGCAATCATAAGTAAACTAGAGATGATTTTAAAGTATAAAATATATACTTTTATGCTTTAAAAAGGAGGATATCCAAAAGTAATACGCAAATATTACAACATTTAATATCAGAAAATTGAATATCCAAAGATTTTAGTATCTGGTTGGGTCCTGGAACCACGGATACCTGAAGGATGACTGTAATTTGTTGAAAAAAGAAATTCAAAAGTAAATAAATTGAGAGGATCTCTGACTCTTCCTATCAGAGACAAAATTATCTCAGAGTAAACTAAAGACAAAAACCAGGCTTATATGAATAATTATGATGAGCATAAGCTTTACACTTTACCA